TAACTTTTTATGTATGTATGTATGTATATATGTATGTATGTTTCTCCATCACGCTGAAAGGGCTGGATAAATTTGTATAAAATTTAGTGCATAAAAATAGACTGTGACCTAACATGTACTGTTAGGACTTAGGAACCGAGGGACGCACAAAAGCGAAGTGAGGGTAAGTCGCTAGTTTCACTATATGTGCTGAAAAAACGGATGTTTGTTATGTAGAAGCGATATTAAAAGTTTGTCTGTTTAATCATGCATCATTCAAAAATGGCGTGCCAGGTTTTAATACAGATTTTTTGTTATAAAGATTGGTCTGTAATACATATATGTATTGGTTTTTAATCGACTTCCAAAAAGGAGGAGGTTTTATGTTCACTTGTATATAGGTATGTTTTTTGAATCGATCTTGTGGAATCAAAGATATTCCTCGTATAAATCGGATATCTTGCACAACCTTGAACAATAAATAAAATAATAATTACGTGAAATAGAAGCCTGAAACTACAATTTTTTTAGGCCTTTATGACTTTTAATTTTTAGATCTTTAATGTTATCTAAAGCTACCACTTGATGAATGAATAAGTAATATATTCTGAAAATATTCCGAATTTTTTGTATGGTTTTAGTTCAATATACTTTACCTTTTATATTGCATGTTTTTAATTATTGTAGAAATGTAAAAGTTCAGAAAAATGTGCAACTCATTGTAATCGTTAAAAGTTTTGCTGTAGCAAAAAGGATAGGTTATATATTTTTTTCATAAAAAAAACTAATTTAAAATTTGGGGTAACTATGCAAAATTACGTTAACTTTTATAACATAATAGCTAGCAAAAACGTGGTGGCGTTAAACAGAAAAAAAGGTCAGTTTAATCTTGCTAGTAGTTAACCTTAAAAGCTATCGCACACCGTAGTTATTTATCTAGGTGTCACATGTAATGGGATTTAAAAAATATCATTTTCACATGACTGATGACATATATAAGGTAATCCAATATAATCTATTAAGCAATAATTTGAACTTGTCCCGCATAAATTGTTGCTTTCGTGCTATTACCGTTAAATTCGTATAATCATGTAATATCCTATTTCTAATTTTATACAAGACTAGCGTTGCCCGCGGCAGATGACCAAAAACCAAATTCTTAGGTTTTACATATTAGTAATATACTCTTATATTGCAGTTTTTGTATTTTTTGTCAAAAATGAGATATTTTCCAGTGGTAAAAAGTATCCTATATTATAATATGTTATACATAATCAAGAAATTTGTCATGTGGCTGCAAAATATTGGCCGTAAAAAGCTATAGGAAGAACTTGTACGAAACGAAAGCTTTATTCATATTAACAAGGAAGTGTAAACCATATTGAAATATTTTCAAATTGAGACCATATTATAATGTAAGCCACACAGGAAGCTCTAATGCGGCAACAAGCACATCCGCAACCATAAACGTCGTTACCATAAGCGGGTGTCAGTTATTATCATAGGTACTACAGTGAACTTTAAATTTTCATATGCAAAAGTGTTTAAGAAAATATTATTAAGACCCATTGATTGAAAGCTTAGGAGATTTCATAGAAGCTTTTATTAATATTTTCATAGTTAAAAAATCGGTCTTTTGACGAAATAGGGCTATATTTACAAAAATTCTTCTACATTCTGCATTATTAAAAATACCGATAAGGTTTTTAATATTTCATTAAGTATAAGAAATGAGCAATTTTAAGAAATTTTATTTATTAGGAATTTTGATTCATTCCTTTACATGTGATACATTCGTAAATACCATCATTTTAACGTCCAATAAAAAACAGTTAAGTTAGATAATTGAAAGTAATCCCTTATAAATCAAACCCCGCATTCCCATACAAGTTAATTAGATTTTATTATTCCTATTAACCTCTATTAACACAATATAAAAGTAACAATAGGACAAACTAAATTGTTTTGTATCGTAAATCACATAGTCTGAGTCAGCGAGATTTTTTATAGCCCCTCATATTTTTTGTTATTTTATAACCCTGTATGTTAAGTGGGAAATTAGTTGGCGTATTTATGAACTACATATGTATATATCTAACTGCCTCGGTGGTTTAGTGGCTAACATGTACTGCACACTCGGAGGTCCTGGGTTCGAGTCCCGGGTCGGGCCAAGTTAAGTTATTGAGTCTTTCTGTAAAGTAAGCCTCAGTAACGGCCTGGCGTTGGGAAGTTGGCGGTGTTTCACCCCCGTGCCTCGAGAGCACGTAAAGCCGTCGGTCCTGTGCCTTAACTCTCACCGGTCGTGTCGAGCAGTCGTCCCAACGGAGTATGAGAGTGACAGGAACAGAGAGTGCACCTGTGTCTGCGCGTACACTCGTGCACTATAATATCTCCTGCGGAGTTGGCTAGTCTCAACGAGATTGGCCGCCGTGGCCGGAATCGGTCAGGAGAACATCATCATGTATATAACAAATATTTTTTATTTTATTTAAACACTTTATTGCACACAAAAATAAAAATGATACATACAAAAAAAAACATTTAAAGAAATGTGCAAAGGCGGCCTTATCACTAAAAGTAATCTCTTACAGGCAACCGCTAGAAGTAGGATACAAGTTAACAGAAAGCGGAAAGGTGCATAAAGTGTACTCAATAGACGTATTACATATTATAAACATACATAAAAAATACATAACTATATTTAATATTATATATGTATTTATTGTTTAAACAATAAACACTTTAATTTATTTTCTATTTATATTATAAAAATATTTTTGCTGTACCTAAAGCTACTGCTTATGTCAAGATTAGCCGTGAATTATTATTATATATCATAGTTTACAGTAGATACTTTGAGCTCATCAAAACAATATGTGGAAATATAATGAACGCTTTTACAGAACTAGTATCTGGGCGAGAGACATAGACGTATGCAAGTACCATAGAGAATTACGAGATGGCGCTATATGACTTTGTCAGCGTGAATGTAGATTATGGCTCTAATAATAATTTGTTATAAAAAACAATTCTGAAAATTTGCGTTTTTCTTCAGAAAAGACACCTATAATCTTCAAAAGCTTAAAACCTTATCTTCAAAATTTTATCCAAATCGTTAAAGCCATTTCCAAGATAAATGTATAATTTATAGTGTACAAGAATTGCTCATTTAATATTATAATCAGATAATATAGTTTTTAAAGTATTAAATACTAGATGAACCTGCGGCTTCGCTCGCGCAAAAACTACTACAAAACCTCTAAAAAGGTAGTTTTCATACAAACTTTCATCCCCTATTAAAATAGGATTTCTTAGAACCCCTAATAGAATGAATTTGGAAAAAAGCTAAAACACGTATTTATTTAATTTTATTGAAGAGTATTAATACCAAGTTTCAAGTTATTCTGATTATAAATAGTTTTTTGGATTGTATTATAACGTGTTTTTCCGTGGGAATGAGATAATCTCCCGTGGTAAAAAGTAGCCTATGTCACTCTCCAGCCCTCACACTATCTCCATACAAAAAATCATGCCAATCCATCAACCCGTTTCGACATGAAAGGACAAACAAACAAACACACTTTCACATTTATAATATTATAGTATGGATGTGTATTCCCACGACTATGCGTAAACTTAAAAAAGTTAATTGAATTAAGTTTCAGGTTAAATTATTTGTATAACGACTAACGAGGTTAAGCAAAGTGTGAGAAAAACAAAAAATGTCACAATTATTGTTTGATAATTTTAATATAAAACATAAACATTCATATAATATGATGAAACTATTATGTTCTAAATAATATCATGAGCGAAATTGGGAGATATCATATCATTCAGTTCCACTATGTTGCTACTAGATGGCGTTGGATGTATACTGCATCGCGCTATCGTTTGGTTCTTTCTGAAACATAAGAGCTCGACGGACTCGATTTGCGGTAGACGTTCTTGTCGTATGAAACAAGATTTATCTTGAAAGGGGGTTAACCAGCCAAATGATTGGTAAACCCCTCAGAAACTAATTAAAAATCTAAAAAGATTCGCGTAGTGAATGGGATAATTCATAATATGTCCATGAAATTCATGGAGATATCTCATCACTCGGGGACCCGTGGACCGTGTTCATGAACTATGGCCCCTGCACCTAATAAGGGCTAAGATGCCGGGATTAGGGATAACGTAAATACTAAATTTGTGTATTATCAATTATGTAATTGTATAGATTGTTTCGATAGTAATTTATGTCACAGTATGTAGTATTATGTAAGTATACTTATTAGTTATTACATACATATAATTAATTTCTAAGTCGAATCCGCACATTATATATTTTTTGGAAAATTTTATTGAAATAGTTATTAAGTATTATTACCGATACAGAGGCCGAATCTAATTTTTTTTTTAATTTCTCTGTCTGTCTCGGAACGCATCACGAGAAAACCACTGGACAGTATATAATAATTAATTAATAGTTCTTCATATTTTTTAATATTATTTCAATTACACACATTGTCTATCATCTTCAATGTGAAATAATAAAAAATAACTATCTGTTTTATAACATTTCAAAATCTTTAATATTTTTTTTGCTTAACGTCTTTACTTTGTTGTTCTAAATTGTATTTTCACGTAATTTTATAAGGTTTGTGAAAGAAATGCACTATCTATAGTCTATACCCACATACTCTCCTATCTCCTAAGAAAAACAGTAATTCTTTCATTTAATCAACGCAATAATTTACTTTTTAAATTATGATAACTTTTATCGACTCGCATTTATTTTTATATACGTATATATTTTGGCGATTTATTTCTTTGGATTAGTGCGTGGGTATTGATAACAACAATAAAATTGGATAATAGGGAATGACTTGTTTCAGGATTCCAATAATAAACTAAGTATTACTTAAGCTAAACTAAAATATTAACAAAAAGATAACAGCTATCTAGGTAGGTATCGATATACTCAACAGTACATTTATTAATATTATTTCGATAATAACTCAAAACCTTCTTTTCAGGCAAGTCGGCCGAAACCTGATCATCCCTGGTGGTACCCGTACCATCGACGCGACAGGCAAGCTCGTGATGCCGGGTGGAATTGATCCTCACACCCACTTCGAGCTCGAGATGATGGGTGCTAAAACTGCTGATGACTTCTATAAGGGAACTAGGGCGGCTGTCGCTGGTGGTACTACCACTATAAGTAAGTACTTCCTATTATTATTTTTTTTACCTTCGTTTGAGACAAACTTTCATACCATAATCAGAGCAAAAAAAACGGTTCTATTTTAATTTCGTATTCGGGATGAAAAATATCTGAAACAAACAAAATAGAACTTGGAAAAATCCGAAAACATAATTTAAGTTTAAGTTCGCGTTCGCGTAAATCTAAGATTATTCATTTATTTATTTTTATGTTCTAGTGGACTTCGTGCTGCCTGAGAAAGGACAATCGTTAATTGAAGCATACAACAATTGGAGACAAAAGGCCGATGGAAAGGTAAATTTATTGTGACATCCACTAACTTTGTTTTTGATTGATTTCAAAACGTTAGTTGACTCAATTAATGTAGGTGTATGTTTTTGTTACGACATAGGTTCTATATAAGTTACAAGAAAAAAAAATTCTTCTGAGGGTAGATCATTATTTTTGATGTGGCCTTTTAATCAAGATTTTAATCAAGATTTAAATAGTTAGGCTTCGTTTTGTGAATATTACCCGCCCGCTGGCCGGAGCATACCCCCCGCGGATCGAGCTATCGTGTCATATACATACGCATGCGTGAACAGTAGTTATATTAATATCTGCCTGTCTTTTTGTTTGTACCCTTACCATTGGAATGTCTGAATTGATATTAAAAAAGCACTAAATGACAAAAGTAGTGGAATTAACGATCAAGACGAGTGACTATTCTGTTAAAGTAAATGACTCTGGTATAGAATGAAAACTGTATAAATTAGAATGCTATTGATAAAGAATATCCGAGCATACGCACGGGATACAGCTATTACTTAATATTGATGATTTCTCATGATAAATCGAACATGACGTAGAAAAGAATAATAAAAATAAGAGGGGAACTTATTTTTTAAACGATTACACTAAACGATAGTGTATATGGAAATTAGCAGATTCACTTATAACAGAAAAACAATTCCGTATATACTCGTAAGTAAATGCGCACGCGCATCGTTGAGATTCAAATAGCTAGTGTAAAGTATATGTATAGTGTAGTATAATCTGGTTCAATGCTTACATTTTAACTTTATGTGTAGTAGTTTTTACGTGCTCACGAATAGGAACGTTTCCCTTAACTAATTAATTACATTATTCAAATTAGTGAAAGTGCAATTTCCTTTTCTGTAACGGTGTAGTTTAGAAATAGACTATATCGTTTGTTTATATTATAAAACTAGAATTTTTATTACTTTATATAATAGTCATTTCTTCCCACGACAGCCGGTCTCATGGTTACTTAGGGTATCTCTCATCCGTAAATCCATCGTAACAGCGTGAAGAATTACGAAAGATTACACACAAATATTCGCATTTATAATATTAATATTAGTATGTTACACATATACTTATCTAAATAGTTGTCGTCAAAAAATCTAATCTGTACTTGCTACTGCTACTGCCTTCCTCAACAAAACGTATCCTTAACCAAATAATAAATAAATATGTTGGGACGTTAACACACAGCACCATCTAATCCCAGGGTAAGCTACGAGGCTTGTGTTATGGATGCCAGATAGTTGATACACGATACATATATATGCTTTTAAATACGTATGTACATATTATAAATATAAACATCCATGATTAGAGTACAAACATTCGTGCTTATGACACTAATGAATGCTCCCAGCGGGACTCGAACCCGCGACCGATGGCACAGCAAGTATGGTCACTACAAACTGAGCCAAGCGTGTCGTCCAATAAATAATCTTTTTGAAGTACATTAAATAAATGAAAAAACTATTTAGTGTCAGCTAAAACTATATTCGATATTTTTAATATTCTGCATAAAGATATTACTGCTCATTAAACACACACAGAATAAATAAAACAAAAAACATTTTGAAGTCAGTCAAATACCAGAAGAACAAAAATCACATTTCTAATATTAGTAGGTAAACATACATGAATAGACATAGATGCCTTAGTTTAATAATGTTTGTTATATTTATAAAGTTTTTTATTTATCTTTTATTATCTGAATATAACCTAGGTCTGTTGCGACTACGCACTACACGTTGGAGTGACGTGGTGGTCCCCATCAGTGAAGAAAGAGATGCAGCAGTTGGTGGCAGAGCATGGCGTCAATTCCTTTAAGATGTTCATGGCCTACAAAGATGCATGGATGCTGGGAGATTATGATCTGTGCTTGGCTTTTGAAACTTGTGCAGAGTTGAGGGCTTTACCCCTGGTTAGTTGTTCATTTTTGGATTTAATTGTAAAAAATATTTTAAATATTTATGAAGAATTTCTTTCTGAAATTGAATAGATTCAAATTTACAATGTAACCCATTTGTAAAACAATCCAATTTTTTTTAATAAAAACATTTTTTAATCAAAATAATTCATTTCGTCAGTCTTCTGTCTGTGGTACATATATATTTCTTGATAAAATTGTGAGCTAAAGCATTTATTCTAAAAAAGAAATAACATCACTAAAATACGAATAAAACTAAAACAACAAAGTTACTAAAACAAACTAAAGGTGCCTGATACTAACCTATATGGCATTGTCAGTAAGCAATACGCCATTTTTATTTTTTCTAAACTTTTAATGTAATATTTAAATTAAAAACAATATCAGCGATATGGTGACTTATACGAGTATGTATGAATTGTGACGTTTCCAATTTTCCGGCACATTTAAAAGCAAATTGTTAACTAAGTACACATTATATGGTACATTTTGCAAATATTTTTTGTTCGAGTATCATCTATTTAAATAAAACTAACTATCTTTTCGGATTATTTCGCGGATTTATTTTGATTTTTGGTTCCCCACGACGCGACGTTTCGAATGCTTTACAGCAATTATGGTCACGGGAGAGACTAAGGTTTTAGACGTCCCTAAGGCGTTATATACTTGTTACAGACAGTGCCTACCCACAATTTAAAAAAAAATATTTCAAAATGGCACCAAAGTACCTTGCAATATTTGTTGATTTTAATTCTAAACGTTTTATAATCTATTTAATAATACCAGTAGCGGCTTCCATAGAAGAATACTCGACATCCTCTTTCAATTGTTCAGGTGCACGCAGAAAACGGTAACATAATAGCTCGTAACACGGAGAAGTTGCTGGCAGCCGGCGTCACCACGCCCGAGGGACACGAGCTGTCCAGGAATGAGGAGGTGGAAGCAGAGGCGGTGAACCGAGCTTGTGTTATTGCTAACCAGGTGAGATGATATGATTATCCCGTAATGATTAATGCTCATATTATGCAGAAAATGATATATTTAGTGTGTTCCTAAATGATGTATTATGTAAGTGCGCTCTATTCCTATCTATACAGATACAGCTTTCTACTAAATGCAATGAAGGTATATATATATATATATATATATATATATATATATATATATATATATATATATATATATATTTAAGTACTAATAAGCTTTTTTTTATTTTTTGTCTATCTGTCTGTTTGCTAATCTCCGAAATGGCTGGGCTGATTTTGCGGGACTTTCACTGGCAGATAGCTGATGTTATAAGGAGTAACTTAAGCTACTTTTATTTTAAAAAAGAATTTAAAAATTCAAAATTTTTTGTAGTAACACCAAATTCAAAAGTTTTTGTTTCCACTGAAGAGTTTTACTATCCACAAAAAAAGTACCTACTTTAAACATTTTTTTAACCTTTCATTACAGAGTGACATAAAAAAATGTAACCCAAATATACAAATCAGGTAATTTTAAAAAAAACTTTGGCGTTAATCACGTGGTGATACGTCAATAAAATAGCCTACATATTATTTCAGGATATAAGCAATCTCCTTTGCGAATTTTACTAAAACCTGCAGAACCGTTACTATTTGAAGAATGTACAAACACATTGAATCACTCACGTATTCTATCACTCATTCACGAACTTTAAATAATACTTTATGTAAATTTCAGATGCACACCCCCCTCTACATAGTGCATATGATGTCTAAAAGCGCGGTACAAGCGCTTAGACTAGCTCGGACTAGGCAAAAGCAGCCCCTCTTTGGAGAAACCCTCGCAGCAACTGTTGGGACTGATGGTGGGTTTTAAGATGTGTTTTTATTATATTACTAGCGACTCACTCTCGCTTCGCTCAGGTTAAGAAATAGACATATTAATCGTTGGCTTATTATTACAAGGTTCTATGTTAATTTTAATGAAGTTTAGTAATTTTTACATAGAACTTCGTTATTTTGTTATCGTAAAAAAAAACAACATAGAACTATGTAAAATTTAATATTTTTTAGTTATAGTGCCGCTATCTAGTGGTTTGTTTTTTCAAAACTGTAGCTAATGACACAGAACCTTGTAGCATTAATAACTAAATAAGTACTAAAATTATAACATAGAACCTTGTAATAGTGAGCCAATGATTATGCCATCGCGGACTTTCCTGTAGACCTATATAAGATGCACAATTCCACCATGCATTATTTTGTTATATTTCAAAGGGTTTATTTAGGCAGCGTTTTCGTTGAAAGTTCCCAGATGGATTATTTTTTTCCAACACCTCCAACAAATATTGTTACATTTTAGCCAATGTACACAAAAACTTAAAAAAATTATATATACTAAAACCTTCCTCGAGAACCACTCTATCTATTGGTGAAAATAGCATGAAAATTGTATGTGAAACAGGCATATATGTATATTTTTTTATAGAAATATTATAATTTGTAATTTAACTTTATTAAAAAAGATAATGTAATAATATTAGTCCCGTTGATTTTCTTTCGTCAATTCTTCTCAGATCTGAGGCTTCTTTCCGAACTGGCAGTAGACTCATGACGTTCAATAAAAAAATTGTAATAATTTAATGCTGAATAAAATAATTTGAATCAAATTTAACGTGGGTGAAACCGCGGGGCACAGCTAGTATAATCATAACACCCTCATCATTATAAAAAGTATACCATTTTCAATAAAACTTACCCATTCCAGGTACCCACTATAAGAACGCTTGCTTCCGGCACGCGGCCGCGCACGTGCTGTCGCCGCCGCTGCGCCCCGACCCCGCCACGCCCGACGCCATCGTCGACGCGCTCGCGCAGTCAGTACATACACACTATTATTATTTTACTGCGACTGTAAGATATAAACAGTGGTAGCCCAGTGGCGACACGCTCACTTGGGAAGTTAGCGGGTTCATTTCCCGAGTCTGGCACCTCTGATATTTTCATTTGCGAATCATCCAACAGGATTACCACTCGTCTTACGGTGAAGGAAAATATCGTGAGAAAACCTAAAGTACGAACCTAGCAAGTTTTCTTGTTGTCTCAAAAATTCTTAAAAATAGTTTTGTTAAAATATGAAATATTCATCAAAGCTAAGTAAATATTAAATGAAAATACACACTTAAAAGGGATTTTAGCTAGGTAATATCACTAAAGTAACCTCAAAATGTTATTTCCAGCGATGATCTCCAACTGATCGGTAGTGACAACTGCACTTTTCACGAGAAGGACAAGGAAATGGGGAAGGACAACTTCTGCAAGATCCCCAATGGGGTGAACGGGGTAGAAGATCGAATGGCTATCCTCTGGCAGAAAGCTGTTAATACTGGTATATATTATCTATTAAAGGCCGATTTTTCAATCGCTTGTTAAATTTTACTCTAGAGATAAGTAATCCGTTCTCATTTGCAGTTCAGATGAATATTATTTCAATTTTAAAGAAATCATAGAGAATGAAAAAAAAACTAAGTTTTATTTGTATTGTAAAAAATGTGTTAATTCATTTTTATTATCTATTTTAATTGCAAATGAGCTAAAGCTATACAGCTTTAGTGTGTGTGGGTGAATATTGCGTGTTCACTATAGTTGAGTACATGCAGAGGGATAATTAAACGTCCAAAGTTACATATATTTACTTTAAGTTAGCTACAAATATTCCTAGCACAATATATACTTTAATCATAAGTTAAGTGACAAACGAAGCGGTAGGCGGTAGTAACAGCTGGAGTTCGTGGCGCGATACAATTGCTATATAGCCACCTTGATGAAGCAGTACAGCTATACAGTCCCACTTCACACCTACAGGCGTGATGGACCCGTGCCGCTTCGTGGCGGTGACGAGCACGAACGCGGCGCGCATCTTCAACATGTACCCTTCGAAGGGGCGCGTGGCGGAGGGCGCGGACGCCGACGTGGTGGTGTGGGACCCGCGCGCCGAGCGCGTCATCTCCGCCGCCTCGCACCATCACGCTGTGAACTTCAACATATTCGAGGTGAGCTGGTGTTAGCTAAGGGATCGCCTGCATCGCGCTATGATTGTGTTCTGCCCCATATAGTCATATTAGTCCCATATACTCGTATATGTCGCCATGTACTATATATATATACAAAAGTAATTTAAACCTTTAGAATTTAGAATAATACGTCAATAGATAAAAACACTCAGTCGATCTCGTAGTACAACGCTCGATACGAAAGAACTTGTCGCTGTCTGCCCTTTACTTATAATTTATTCTTAAATAATAGATTGCATTGTAAACACCAAACAATGTACATTTTATATATTGAAACTCATCGAAGAAAAGCCTACACGAAAAACACACGAATTTCTTACATATATAGTCACGAGTACCAGGGAACCAGTAACCTGAAAGAATGCTCATTTACCCATCATAAAAGTGCATACGAACTACTTACACTACACACTCCATAACACTTATGCTCGCCTGGTACTCATGATGACGTCACACGAGTTGCTCTCTTAGTAAATAATAAACAATTTAGAGACGGTCGAGATATTCCATTTTTTTCAATCTTCAGGTGAGCCGAGTAACATGCGATAAGGAACTTAGATACGTTGACATTTTAAATAAAACGTATCTTTTCTGATTTTTTCGCAGATTTATTTTGATTTTTGGTTTCAGGGAGAGACTCTGTCTCTGCCGGGACAATGATTGCTGTAAAGCATTCGAAACGTCAGGAAACAAAAATCGAAATAAACCCTCGAAAAAATCCAAAAAATAGTTGTATTTCAAATGTCAAATATTCGCGTAAATCTAAGAAAGTACTATTAATACGTATTATAGAGTAAATATTATTTGTTTACTAATTATAAACTTTTATGTTACACAGGGTCAGCGTGTGGTGGGCAGCCCGCAGTACGTCATTGTAAATGGTCGCGTCTGTCTCGACGATGGCGACCTACGAGTTGCCGAAGGTAAATTATTTCATTGTTTTTTACTAGCTTTATGATCGATAAAATATTGTAAATATGTTTATTAATCCAAAATATAAGCTGTCTACATCCTGATTTTTCTCGTGATAATGTACAAATGCACTTACAAACTTTCGTATTTGTAATATTTGTCTCACGTTAGTTATTCATTCAATTAAATTCTTTCTACGATTGAACCTACGACCTTCTGCATAATAATTTATATACAAGAATTGCTCATTTAATATTATAAGAAGTTTAATTAATTGATTATAATACAAACTAGGTACTCACCCTCGCTTCGCTCGGCTTCGTCCCTAGCTTACTTCCCTATACAAAATTTTATGCCCATTTTTACACCCTTAAGGGATGATTTCCGGGATAAAAAAGTATCCTAAGTCCTTCCCAGGGTCTCAAACTATCTTCTTATCAAATCTCATCTAAATCGGTTCAGTAGATCCAGAGATTACCCCCTACAACGTCATAAACTCACAAACTTTACGTGTTTATAATATTAGTATAGATTATATTACCAAATTAACTAATGATAACCCAATATTTGCTAGGATTCGGCAGATTTATAAAGACGCCAGCAAACTCCCCGTACGTGTACGGCGGGGAGGTGCCCATGACGCCGCAGCCGTCGCCGCAGCCGCCGCACTCCCCGCACTCCCCCGGCAGGGTCACCAATGGAACACCCACCGGTAAGGATATACAAAAAAAAAGTGCGTGTGTGTGTGTGTGTAATTCACACATGGTAGAAGTGAAACTTCAGAAAAGTAACCTACGAGAGAATGAGATGATTATAGAGTATCAAGAGTAGGATAGTAATTATAATGTTTATTTTATTAATCATATTTTTATCAAGTTTTAAAGTTATTTTACATTTTATTTGACATAAATATACATTACATATTATTCTTAATTTTATTATTTTTTACTTCCTGTGTAATGTATTCTATTTCAAATAATAACGATTAACATGGCAATGTATTCTATCTCATTCTCTCGCCGAGTTAATCCTATATATTTATGTGTTTGTCTCTTTCTCGTGACTCATTTCCTTTTCATCGAGTTTCAAATCACTGCGATTCTAAAAAAGTTTCTCTTCAATAAAGCTTTATTTAGTTCCATGCGAAATTAGTTACAATAAGTTATTAACAGTTAAGAATTTGAAAATATTTAGTTTTGTTTTGTTTGGACCCGTTTCAAGTAAAAGTAAAGGACTTCCATTGTCTGTCCAAAGCTATGACTTGCCATTTTGAATGTTGTAAATTCTGAAATTGTGAAATTCATTGTAAAATGCAACGGTTCTTTTATACATATACTGATAGCTGTTTTTCGACTGTGATAGGCAGCGGTTCACCTGCGTTGCATCTACAATGCTTCGCCTGCCTTGTCTAGATGCGTTCTTTAGAAAACTGTATGGATAGCATTTACAGCATTTCCGTTGAAATAAATTGGTTATCGCTTATTGTATAGATTTTATATTATGGAAGAACATTGTTTTAATTTGTAACATAAATTATATCCATTTTGAAGTTTAATTGAATCCAGTGGAACTGATACAGCGTAAAAAAGTAACAGTATCTTTCTCTCCTCTTTTTCCCTCCTACCTCCTCACCACTTTCCTCCTCTACACTCCTTTACTCCCTCGTCCTTACTCCTTCCTTTATCTTATCCTCTCTCTCACACACACTACAAAGCCAAACTAATACCTGTGTCCATTCCAGAGCTGAGCCTGGTGAACAAGCAGCTGGAGAGCGTGTCTGTAGGCGGGTCGGGCTGCAGCACGCCCACGGGCCGCCGCATGCGCGAGCCCGGACAGCGCGACATGCAGACCTCGTCCTTCTCCATCAGCAGTTAGTATTCACTCATTCATTCACTCATTCAATCACTCACTCACTCATTCATTCACTCACTCACTTTACTTACTCTGTGCCGGTGGTCTAGTGGCTAGCATATACGACGGTCGAACAAGAAGTCCTGGTAACAGTATCCAGAAGTTGGAAAATTGGACTTCGGATAACATTATAAATAGTGTCGAATTATAATACATATCATACCATACCGGATTATCAGAGTGAAAGGAATGGAAAAGGTTATAACATCTCTTATGCGAATAAGACTAGTTTAAGTGAAATTGGCAGAGATCGGGCAGCCAGTAGGACATTACTGTTATCACTACGAGTATTTAACTATCTTTTCTTTAAATTATTACCAAATTATGCATCATCAATTTCCCTCTATCAACACTTCTCTATCAACCCCTTTCTTCCCTCCCCTCTCCCTGTCTCTCACCTCTCTTTCCCCTCTTACTATTCAGTCTCATACATTGGTTCATCATTGGTGAAGTCATTAAACTCAACTGCCATAATAGCCTAGTTACATATGCCTTAAAAATTTTATTGCGGATTTTAATTTCGCACTTTTCACTATATAGTTGTGAAAGTTTTTGTGTGTTACACTTTCACGCTATATAGATAGTTAACTGAAGTAACACTTAGGCATATAAGGATGCACCCAAGCTAAGCGGAGCATAAACTCGAGTTAGATTGTAAGAATAAACTAATAAAGAATGTATGTTTGGTCATACACGTGCGCTGTAATATCTCCCGCGCAGATGGCTTGTCTCAGTAAATTTGAATCGAAATTCGGCTTGAATATTATTATTAGTTACAATTTCACATGTGTATTTTGATTTATCCCATATTTGTTAACTATGACCACGTGACACGATGTGTAAAACTATGTTTTTGGTCTTTCTATGACCACATTATATTGTATTTTCATAAAAAAATATTTAAATTACTAGGGAACTAAATTTTAGCTAAAGTTTTTACCATACAAAATAGTTTAACTTAAATAGTAATAAAGTATACAATAATTACATTTAATTTTTATTTATGTCATTTAATTTATATATTTTATTGTTTACAGAGGAAATAGAAGGTCTGGATACCAAAACCTCAGTGCGTGTCCGAAATCCGCCCGGCGGAAAGTCGTCCGGCCTCTGGTAAACTGGTTACCGGTTACGTGTGGACTATAACCGGTTATGTCCAGATATATCTGAATAAAATCGACTATCCCCGGAAAGTTGAATCGTAACCGGTTTAATTCGGTTATATCCAGATCATAACCGGTTATTGAATTGCTTTGCGGCGCCGCTAGTTATTTTCGTTTGTGGACAAATACATAGGTTGGATGGACATATTAATAGCGGCTATTGTTTTTATGTACGTATGTTGTATGTATGGGTTTATATGACAAGTGATCTACAAAACATAATGAATGCTTATTATTTTATTTAATAAATAGTTCCATTGGATCGTTAACACGGATGAATCATATTTTGTATGATTAATCTTTATATATGTTAATTAATTAATATTTTGAATATTTATTATTTTATAAATGTTATAATCATTTAAAGATATTTCTTCACAAACGATACGCATTCGTATTAGAGCTTTGAGCGAGGAACCAATGTTAGGTTAAATGTTATTCGCTATAATTAATTATATATAATTTATCGTATTCCTTAAAATTGGTTTTGTCATTTATGGAAAATCACAATTATTCGTAAACTCAAAAATCTTTTTTTTTTATTGATAGTATTTTTTCTAGAATTACGAAGGGATATGAACAATTATGAAAGTGTAGTCGTACGTTAGAAGCTTACTATTTAGTGCATGTTTAGAGATTTGATAATATTATTTATTCAGTTCTCTACCTATAGACTGACAGACAAACATAGAGTTTAGACGAAATTTTTACACAACAGTAAAAATGAATTATTTATATTAATTATAAGAATCGGTACGTAATCTGACCAAACCATTGTGTTTTATAAAGATTAAATATTTAAACTAAAAAGCTATTTTACTAAAGTAGAGCTCATTCACTGCAATTGCATTTATTCTTATATTTCATAAGAAAAATATTCAAGATTGTGATGTTTTTTTTTTATGAAAATTTTAAGGCATTTATAAACATATTCTATCTTTATAAAGCACGGTAGCAATAGCATTTTATAACTATCAGCCAAATCATACTAATCGTGTCAAAACCTCTTCTTGGTCTAATCTTCTATACAAAATAGCCTAAGATATGTGATTAGTTCCGATTTGATCAGTACTTATTTGTTTATTTCTGAATGTTTAATACTTCGCGTGTTCAAGTTGTACGTTACGTGGCGCTATAGATATACAATTATACTAGTTATAATATGTTGTTTAATTAATAATGCACTTCACTTGAATTTATTAAATCTGTGTCGTTTTTAATCCTTTCCTATATGTACTAATGATTGAACAACGCCATCTATCGGTTGATTTCAATGTTATTCTACAATTTGAATGTTCTAAATATCGTCGCTTTACAATACTTTGTTGTTAAATATATTATAATATTGATTTAAGTTAGTGTTCACAACAATAATGCAAATTTAATGAAAATAACAATTTGACTTATAAATTTTAACACACCGTTTCAAATGTGTCCTAAATTACATTTTACAACATTCTTTTGTTTTACTAGATTTTTACTACGGTAGAAAGTTAATTATATATTATTATAAAGCGACGATATTCTTTTTTCCGTACGTATTTCGTATCCTCTAGCGGTACCAGTAACGCCGTCTATCCGTCGTGGATGACAGTTTGCATTTCCGTATGTAACCAAAGATGTTAAATCTTAGAGCAATATATAGTTAGTGGAATCGGCATCACATGTGTATAACATTTTGTAATTTTTCTATCTGTCCTAAACATTGTCACGAATAAACAATGTAATCTCACTATTTGTTTGTTTCATTTTACCTACAAATTTTATTTTCTACGTATGGAATAATCTTATTTAGTGAATTTAAATTTATTTGAATATACTCTGTACAAATCTGATGTGGAAGTGGAAGCAATAGTTATTTATAATTACCAACACGTCCAGATTTCTAATTAAATCGTATCGAAAACCATTTGTGCTAAGAAATTAAAAAATAAATCCAAATCTTCCAGTTATGCCAGGAAGCTATATGCCATATCGTATATATCCAGGCACTTTTAATGTTTAAGGTATTTAAGAATTATTATAGAAAACAGTACGACCATTCTTACGTCACATAAGCAGTGTTTTTTAAAGTCAAAACAATGCTTTGTTTCTCCACAGATGACAGATACTAATAGAGATGCCTTATCCCATACAAATGAATTGGCCGGAGCTTATTCGGGCTAATCTTCAAGCTAATTTCGTGATGGAATAGAAAATTAATCCACAAACAGCTAAACTATTTTATGAATATGGATTAACTAAAACATAATAAATATTGCAAAATTCATCCAGAATTTAATCAAACTAACATTGAATAAGTTTTAACCGTGATAAATAACCTATGAAAAGTAAAAGCGCCATCTGTGAATTTACACTAAAAACACATTATCTAGTTGCTGATTTTTAATAAACTGTAAAATAATTACACAGACCTGATATTTTATGGTGGCAACGTTTCATTTAGGGAAATTTAAAAACCATAATATATATTTTTGGAATATATTTTATAGGTTTTGTTAATTTTACACAAGTTTAACAACAAATCGATACATATACCTTATCTTATTAATGTATTGGCATTTATTCAAGACAGATTTTTCTTTGTTTCTGAGGAGTCCATTTGGTTTATGTATTGTTCGTCAGACCCTCAACCCTATGGATAAAGGGCGAATAATTCTAATTTATACAATTATTGCAAGTTGTTTTAAATAGCGTTATGTATGTATTTCACGTACATTCTTTTAATCGATATAATATGTTGTGCTGATGTACCTTTGTTCTATTTTAGTAAGTACTAATAATTGAAAATCTAAAATTAAAGCGCCGAAATTACTATTAACGTATAATAACAACTTGATGATTTTTTACCTTCTATACTAAGTGCTGACTCAGTTTATAAAATTTTGATGTACTGATTGAAAATATAACATGGATCCTTAATTTAAACTAGTTTTTAGACATGTATAGAAAGGCATTATTTATTTATTTATTTAAAATTTTATTGTATTGCATTGTATATAAAGACGTCGCCTAAAAGTATTGTGCATTGTTCTGTAAGACTATGATTGAAGCATGAGGTCTTATCAGGAGCAAAGATAAATTATTTCAGATAAAGATTAATAGATGGCGTTATATATTTGACATTTGTTTGTGTAAAATTAACAAGAGATAAAACAATATTATGGTTTTAAAAAACTACTCTAAAGTCTTAAATAAAGGAAACGAAGATATGCGCTCGTATTTTTTTTTATTAATTGTTGAAACAGGAACTGACAAATAATGTGATAGGTTTGTAAAGTCTATTAACAGATGGCGCTTTTGCATTTTATGAGTTGTTAAACTTATTGCGTGTATATATTTCATATCATAAAAGTCTATTCGGTAAAGGAAAAATCGAAATTATTGATGTGCAATTTCTTCGTATGGAATGTATTGTATAATAAAATATTAACAGACTAGTTATATTATGAACAGTTTAGTCAAATTACGTGTTGGTTTCAAGTTTATTCACTAGATGACGCTGTTAAGACAGGCAGGCAGCAAAGTATTAATCTATGACAAGTTCTATTATAATATTGTATATATAAAAATAATATCGATGTATGTATAGTCAACAGTCCAACACGGACTTTTTTGTCTCGTCAAAACGAAGTTACTCGCGAAGTTTTAGTTTGTTATTACTCATTAAAAACATTTGGTGGACTGTACACTAGTAGCTTGTGGGGTTAAGGATGGAAATAAGTACAAAAATACAATTTTATGCTTTTATTAAAATAATATTCGTTCAACTGAACACAAGAAATGGGTCCAGACCTAATAATTGAGTTTTCTAATTTGACAATTTCTTTCTACAAAAAAAATAACTAGCTCATCGCAGGAGCCACTTTGTCTTTACCATCTTAACAATAAAAACAACCTATAAAATCTATCAACATAAAAGACCTTTCAGAGGTATTAGGTATCGAAATATACCAGTTTACAGTTAAATTTGGCACAGATTATATATATAGAAAAAAGTTTACTGTCCGTTCGTTTATCCCTGGTTAATCTGCTTTAAGTTCTAAGATGGTTTTGGCACGCATTCGCCTTAGCAAATACAACTTTCATTAATCGAAATAAGATAAAATAAAATATCTTCCTTTAGAACACAAAATATCAAATTCCATATAAATTCAAATATCCTTAAAACAAAAAATTTACGGAAAATCTAATTATATTTAGAAAACTATACAGTACCCATAGTATTTCAGTATTGCACAAGTTCTAATTCCATGCAAAATCACGCCGCGATCGAAGGAATCTTGTCAAATATTTCGTAAAACCGATTGCTTTTCGTCAAACGTAATCAAATCCATAATAAAACAAACAACAGTCGTTTGAGAATTTATATTTTGATCATTTCAATAAGTCATGGGTCGATATTGCATTCAACAACGTTAAAAATCTTAATAATAACAATAAAATAACAAAAAGTAGCGTTCGACAAAACTAACCATCTAGAACGTTCCAACTTCCGAGGGTACTTTATAATAATAATAAATGCAATAGTTTTACCGAAAAAAAAACATCTAAATATCGCGAGATACAAATTTATGTACAGTCGAAGTCACTCCGGGTTAAACAATAAGGTATTATTTCGTGGATGAAACTTGATTTAGCATTCAACTAATATTCATTTAAACATCTTTTAATAGCAATAATGTATATATATGTATATGTAAGTAGAGTATACACTTAGTTCCTAATATGACACAGTTAAATTAGCCTAATTTTATACATTACACTGCATATACAGGTGGGGAAGTACCGAGAGCATCGGAACGAAGGGAATCTTAATTGTTGCGTTATTTTATTGAAGTGTGTATGTATATATAAATGTAATGCTGTCGGTACGTCCCCGTGTAATAACCACTCATACAATGCCTAATCTAAACTACGACAGTCTAATGAGTTCCGTACAACGGAAAAACAGGGTTTCCCTTCGCCGCACCTTAACCTTTACTTTATACACACGGACGAAAGGATTTTTTTTATATTTTTTTTATAAACTAAACAAATTCTAATGCTACATGGAACCTTATCGGTGCAGGCCGTCAGTAAGAAACGCCCGTAAGAGAGCAGATAGAGAACTGCTTCCTGTCCGCAAAACAATTGCATTGTAATCGATAAGAAGAATTCAAATAAATTATAATACAGAATTTCGTAGATCGAAATCGTGTAAAGAAATAATAATAAATTGGAAGAAAATTGAAATATTTCCATACAAAAGGCACAAAGTACAAAGTCACGGACAGCGTTTCTCAAAGTGTATGTCAAATAATCAAATATACTGTCGAGAGTGAACACGAGTGTCAATATTTCAATTTGGCTCAATTTCCCTGAAACTACGGTTGAATGGCACAAACAGCGTGACTAGTGGAAATAAGATATATCTGTAGAAGCGTGGAGTATTAAAATGCAGAAATGACTCGATATGGACTCACAATTTTGAGATCAATTCGTGTAAATGTATCGGGACTTAATTAAGTTGGTAATTTGGATCTTACAATATAAGAGAATATACATTATTTTTCACAGAACACAGTGATTTGCTGGAACACCGCACATTTTGTTTAAATAAATGCTTTAGGCCTTTAGAAATGAACTATCAACCTATTGTCACTTGAAGTTGATTGTAGAAAAAAAATGTACATAAAGTAACAAAAATATGGGTATCTCAACAAATCACGAAACCCGTGTGTATTAGCACCCGATAAAACCTTTACGAACCGGTTACACATTATCACAACCGACGTGACGTCAGCCAGCCCGCAAGCCGCACTCAAACGACAGTCTATGAGAACAAATTGTACTCCATTACAATTCTATGTCCGTTAAAGTCCTGATCGAGATTTAAAATTGTCATGGAGTATAATTTTGAAGTCACAACGAATTTTAGATATAGAGAAGCTGGCTGGTTTATCGGTCGCACGTCTGAGCCGCTTGCACGCTACGACGTGAAGCATGCAACGGCTCTCCCACATTCACTATGAAACGGATATCACTTCATGTCCGGGTCGGGTCTGGGCGCGGGGCCACGACTGAGAGGTGAGTTGTCCTACGGATAGGGGATTGTTTGCATCCCGGGGATTGGTTCCCACGGGATTGCGGGGTGGTGGTGGGGGGTCGGATGCGGGGGAGGCTAGGGAGGAGAGGGCACTGAGTCCCCCGGGACTAGAGGCAGTTAGGGGGGTGTCCTCATCGCTGGAGGCGTCGGATAACTCTTCCAGTTTAACATCGTCATCAGAGCAAGGGGATTGGGGCGTCACCATGGGAGGCACGCTCCCCGCCGCCTCTAGGGCTTCCATGTAGCGCACGCACTTCTTCTTCCGCCTGTAAATTTGAAATTCGTATGTTAAAATATGGTAAATTAGTTAGGACGCCTTCGTTTTTGTATTAACTATCGCCTTCTTTGGCATACTTTTAGAAAAACCTTTCCAATTTTATACCATAGCTTGATTAATACAAAAACGAATATTTACTGAAGACAAAGAAACTAACACGTATTACTTAACACAAAATATAAGCTACGTTATAAAATATCACGCATGGAACCTAATACACAAAACGAACGTAAAACCTACAAAAAAAAAGGTTAAGTCAAAAGACATGCTTGGAAATGTTAACATTTGAAATAAAAACGTAGAGATACATCGAGTCACTCATGCTGCGTTATCAAACGGTTAAATAATAAAAATAATGACTGAAAAAAAAACTACTACGACAACAAAAATCTACTCGAGAACGAAAAATCCAAGCTCACGACATTCAGAAATATTCAGAAACCAATAAACACGCTAATCGCGCTTCTTGATTCCTGCTTTTGAGACAATGGCATTATTTGAAAAAAAAAATGAAAATGTCTAGATATGTTTCTAGTCTAAAACAAAAAATCTAGGCTATTTTTTCAGAAAAGCAGGAACACTCCATGCTTCACTTCAAGCTCAAAACACAAAGTATACGTAGATCACACCATATTATATTTATTACACCACTAATCTATTATTCGCAGTTATTTTCAGTACAAAAAACTTAACTTCTCAAAATTAACGAAGGAAATTTAAAGTGTTTGATGTAAATTCTTATTATAAAATAAAAATACACAAATAAACACTTATCTACTTTCCCACTTGTATTTACTGATAAAATTATTAACTCTGTTCATTTTAAAAATATAATATCTAAAATCAACAGACATGATCCACGTATACAGAACATTACCCACAATGCCAAAGTCTCGCAACTGACCGTATTATGTCCGGCGGCGGTGGGCCGGCACTAGAGGTTCACATAAGTGGGCTCCTGCGGACTAGCGAGCGTGGCGGGTAACGGTGTCGCAGCGTCCGGCCGCAGGAGCCCTAGCCCGGATACCATCACGCTACTTGATTCCGGACTGGTGGGTGATAGTTCCAAAGGAGATGGATGAAACATGCGATGAGTGGAAAATTGGGAGTTATTAGTAATTTAAGAGGTTTGTTATAATAAAATAGAAAATGTTTATTTATGCGGTGTATTCGAAAATAGGACAGTCATACAGCAAATTAATTACAGTTTGCGATATGTTATTTGCGACATTTATGTAAATTTTGTAAAATAATAAAAATTTTCAATAATAATAACGAAGCGGGGAATAAAATGATAAATAAACAAGGCGGTGATGAGGAAGAAATGATAACGGAGTCAAGTAGCGTTGGGAAGCGAAACAATAAAAGACGCGAGAAAGAACATGTCACCAATAGTGCCGGCGGTCCAGGATCGATCCGTGAGAAGCGGCAATCATGAGTGGAAAAAACATTTCAATGAGTAAAAATATCACGAGATTCTTAACAACTATCTTTCTTGTATTGGTCCGAAAAGCGAGCGTCATTCAGAAAATGTGTCAAGATTTTTTTGAAAGCTTTCTTCGACAAATGATTGCCCTCTCTCCGTTGGGATCCATCGGAACTATTCTAGGCCTATTTTGCACTACGACTTCCACACTTTGTCTACTTTCAAAAAAATCTATTCCGTGTGTTTCTACATCAAACTTTATTTCTTTGTGAAAAGACACATTTTCTGAATCGTTTTCTACTTCGCTTTTGTCTTATTCTTTGTTCGATTGGATAAGAGCACAGCGTAACAGGGGACCGACAAGATATTCCCAAAACATACACAACATGTACTACAGATTTTGTCGAGTAAATAACTAATGAAACTAAAACATTACGACTAGGCTCCTCTTGGAATTGCCGTAAAATAAATACGTAAAGATAAGCCAAGTCTTTCCACATAGAAACAATATAACATTGAAAAATAATGACCTAGCATTTTTAAATGCTTGCTTATTATTCAATATTTTTTTCTTGAAGCAGCAAAAAATGAAATGAAAGGAGTAAAGTCAACAGCACCCACCTGCAAGGTTTGCACCATTGGTTTTGTTGATCGAGGCCATACCTCGCTCTACATTTCTTCAAACTATTTCCTGAAAATTGTAAATATTTCGATTAGAACACGCTTTGGCAGTTTTGTCATCAGTTTGAATGAAAATCAATGGACCACAATATGGACTCGTCAAGTTTGCGAAATGTGAAGGCAAATTAAATATATTTACACGCAAATTAAGATACTAAATGTATTGCAACTTTTATAATATTAGATAACGTCACTATAATTTTGAATATTAATACAATAAAGGGTCCTACGCGTGACGTTATAGTGACAGCGTAAACAAATTTACCAAATAATATATTAAAAGCATTCAAAATAATATGGCTAATGTTCTAAATCTACATAAAGCAACATGCACCAACACCATTAAATTTGTTAGTTAACATGCAGGGAACGGGTGGGAGAAAATGAAAAAATGACAACGGAAAAAACATTGGTTTAAAAAATAGCGCTCTACTCGTAAACTTCGACAAAATAAACTAACTACGCAGTCTGTCGAAATAAAAGTAAAAACAATCACAAATAAACATGACGCTTATAAGCAAATTCAAGCAGAATAGGTTCTCCGGAATCAAAATAAATGTATGTTCATTTGGCCAGTATCATTATAAACAACAGAGAAGCATCGGCAGCTTTGGTTGAAAAATAAAATTGTCTAGTCGAGTCCTCGGGATCTCTCCATACGTTCGTTTAAGTAGGGCGTCCTCATGCATACTGCTGTCGGAACTCCTTATATTTGCAATCGGAAGGCTGTCCCAGCCTTTACACCGAGTATGTATGTATATACAGTCCCTGCAAAGCAATTACTCAAGTATTCAAATATTGACTGTTGAATAAAACATGCACGTTCGAATACGGAGGCGGCAGATCGGAGCAGGAAAGCCAAAAACCGGGACAACCTTCGAAGGAGTGCCACTTACTTATTTCCTTAGCGTTGATTATAAAAACAAAATAAATAAATGCGATAAATATTAAATAAAAAATGCTGATATATGACTACAACCTGTACCCCTTCAACCAACATTCGGCAATATTTCTACGTCTCGTTTTTGGTACGGATGGAGTTCGAGCAATTGAACTCGCAAAAGGAGGTAGGCGGGGCGTAGAGGGAGAGGGGGACGGATAGCGGGGCAGGGGGGTGAGGTTACGTCGGACGTCTCTAGCTAATCCTTTATTAATTGACCTCATTTTTAATGAGCTGGAGCGGTTATCGCGTTACGCCGAGACGTCCGTCGTTGACCGTGTACGGAGTTGTGGAAATCGTGACCGATATAAGATACGAGATTAAAACTAGCTAAGCGAGTGAATGCTCATTCTTCCTGAAATTATCGTTCGATTAATAACTTATTTAGAGTTTCGGCGCCCGATGATTATCGTGCAGATAGATACGTCATTATAGCAAAAGGACAGAACAAGTACTCATTCGATTTTACCAACTATTAGCAATTTGGATAATTTTTTTTATATTGTGCAGAAAGGTTCCGACTTTAATTTATGTTAAATTGATTCCGTTAAAATATTTCCGCGGTCACGTATTAAGACAGGAGGTCTGGGACAGAGAGATAGGGCGTAGGGTTGGCGGTGGTCGTTGCAAGGCAGTACCTCCATCGGTTGTCTCCTGTTTTCGTTTCCTCTTCTTGCCCCTTTGCGTATTAGCCCTAGACGACCAATCGGGATAGAGCTGCATGTGCAGCTGGCGCTCGCGTCGCGCCAACTCGTAATATTTCGCTTGCTCCTCGCGTCCGAGCGCATGCCACTGTACCGAACATGGAAACAAAAGAGAAATGCACTTCGACGGTGGTTCGCGCCCGAGCCCTAGCTTGGTGCTAGAAAAACAGCCCGCAGTGAGCGCACCCCTCGACAATTTTGAACCTAAGCCCCCAAATGAGAATGGCCAATTGTGGTGTTCCTCTCAGAACCTATTCTGCGGTCGGTATCGTCGCGCCTCGTCTAGACATAGATCAAACCAATGTTTCCGATCGGGTTGGGTTACGAGTACGGTCACTCGACGACTACACACAGAACACAGGAGGCGGGCGGCGCGGGGGGAGCGGGTCGGTCGGGACGAGCCCGCACGCCCGGCGCCGCTCGCCTCGCGGGCGACGGTCCCAGCCGCTTTTCTAGCACAGGCACCACCGGCCGTACTAACACACTGGAGTAACACACACACTCATACAAGGATCAGGTATCGGGTGCTCGACGGGGACAAGCCGGTTAGTTCGTGTTAGGAGCCCTGGACGCAAGCAAGTCGGATTAGTGAGGAGTGCGGGTTACGACGGGTCGGGTTGAGGGACAAGCGAGTGTACAGAAGCCGACGTGACAGTCCGTCCCCTCGTGGCGGGTCTCTCCTAGGGTCCAATACCTCCCAGTTCAGCGGGACCGCGGTCCTTTTTCCGCTTTTTCTTTTTGGAACCGTAACCGTAGTTGTCGCGCGCGCTCCAGCCGGGGTACAACTGCATATGGAGCTGTCTCTCTTGTCTCGCTTTCTCATAGTACTTTGCTTGCTCCTCGCGACTCAACGAATGCCACTGCGTATTTATGAGCATTGCATTACGAATGTTTCGCTGCGACGAAGCGTGTGGGAGAGCGTTTGCTACTCCTGTTAGGAATCGCGTTCCGAGAAGCGTAACGGTCGGTTATATTTGTTATTCAATACGCTGAGCGCAGATGTTAGATACGGACACGATTCATTGTCTTCTAGAATACGCGCCGACTGTTTACGCGTCACGAATCGCTTTCCTAACAAGATTAACAATGAGCACATCGTCACATAAAAATAATTCAATCAAAACGTTGAACGTAAACGATCACGTTGTCAAACAATCATAGCACGACCTTGGTGTTTATTAAAATGGGCCGCCTTTTGGACGCAGATCTGATCAGGTAATGTAAATCATTCTAGGAATCGATTCAATGATTTTTGATTTAAACATTTAATTATAAAGCTAGTATCAAAAATAATTAAAATATAGAATTAAAACATTTGAAATCCATATAGAGCGTCACTTACCCGTCTGCCGAGAATTTGATTAATAGCAGCGGACTCCTTCAAAGTGCACTCAGCTACTACCTTCGCCCTCATCTCTTTCATATAGAGCATGAAGGCGTTCAAAGGTTTCTTGATGTGAGGCTTTTTATTCTGTTCTTTATTATTGCTGCTAGCAGAGCTCTCGGTCGGCTTGTCCGAGCTGCTCGACCCTTTCTCTTGTGACCTGTAATTATCGATTACGAATATTCACAGAAAAATAATAAGCTACACAGTTTAGAATAAACAGTACATCGTACTCATAATTACGCGTCCAAAAATTCTTTGTGGTGACTAAGCGGCCAAAATACTTCCATCGAAAACATCTTTAATTATAAATGTTCAATTTAAAAGTATGTAAAAGATCCAAGAAAGATTATGTCAACTAATTATACAATTTTTACGCTATAACTCATTCAAGAGCCTATTAAAAACTAGAAGCCCTATTAAAAAAGTAAAATATATCTTTCCACCTGGCTCGTTTTAATCAGTCTGACTCCGATCTATCATACTTATCTGTAAATCAATGAACGTCTTAATACAAGTTTAGGTGTTAACGCAGACTGATATACAATAAACAAGCGCGCGTCCGGTTGGAAATAGATGCGGCTTCCGGCGCGTACGCATGCATTGACACCGGGATAGCGGACATGTGGAATCTATTATTGATTTTTATATTTAAATTGAAAGATTTAATAGAGTAACTTTTTTAGGACTATGAATTTTTATTACTAAATTTTTATACCATATCTGTAATATATTTCGTTCATTTTATCTATATCTATACATATAATAAAATTCTAATTGAGTCTAATTTGTACATAGAATATTATTTGGAAAATTTTATTGAAATAGTGATTATTATCGATAAAGAGACCGAATCTATAGTTTTTTAAATTTTTGTCTTTCTGTCCGTCTGGGAACGCTTCACTAGAAAACCACTGGACAGATTTTTATGTATGATGATAGCTGGTTATCCGTGTCAACATATAGGGAGGGTACTTTATACTGCGAGAAAATATCTCTGAGAAATCGATACTAACCGTAATAATAAGTTTTAATAAAATATTTTTAAACATTTAGGTTTTTCGATTAGTTTAGACAAATGCTTGTAATATTATTGAAGTTTAAATCCAAAGTTGAAATCAAATTGACTTGATATTCAATGAAATACTTTTAATTATTATTTTGTATATTGTACATATACTACTATTAATATTACTAGATTCATTACTAATATTAGCAATACGAAAAAAAACATTTCTTTGTTCATTAGTTTGTTAGAATTTTACACATACATACGTAGCAGTGGAGTTATGTCTATTTTGATTTTTGCGTAGACATTTGAAGATCATTCTTCTAAAGCTATCTTGGTACGTCTACTAATTCCATGGTATATTGATCAATAGCCTATAGCAAAAAGTTACTTCTGTTCTAGTACATACTAAGAGTGTGAGAAAAGCATGGTTGAATCACTAATGGTTTATATTTGAGACAGAAATATGTTAAACAAAAAAAAGACTAACCTATTATTGAAATCAAAATTTAAATTTAAAATAGGCAATCGTTAGCGTGTCTCACGTCCCATTTCTCGTCATCCAATTAAGAAACACCTATACACTACGAGAAAGATTTTCAACAAAAATGGAACTGTCCACCCAGGCAATTTATTCGTATCGCTGACAATATTAATAATCGAGTGGAATCCTGACTAACGGCTTCCTGCGAACTTGCCTTTAAAATAGACGAGTTAGATTACGGTTAGTTCGATGTTCAAGTATGGTTTTATTTGGTAAATTAGTTCGAGGAACCGACACGAATGTACGACTTCCTTTATGAGTAGTGAAATGAGAGAAAGAATTGGAAATGCGTCTTAGAGCCATGTTAATATAAAAATAGCTAAAAAACAATTTCAAGAATCTATCTTTATGTAAATATTTATGTATAAAGCTGAAGAGTCTGTTTGTTTAAACGCGCTTATCTCCGGAACTACCTATTTGAAATATTCCTTCTGCATTTTGTTGTATATTTATTGACTAAGTTTTTTGGCTATCTAGAGCGTCACACTGACTTACATATACGGTTTATTTGTTAGGTATACCAGGCTTTATCTGATCTAGACTTACAATTAGATTCCATTTCAAGGTCAATACAATCATTTGATGTGTACAGAAATCGAACCCACGTTAGTGTAAGTTGCATTTTTAGAAATATAAACAAATTTTTTTTTAAAAGCTAGAGCACGGTAAAAAGCTATTCATCATGTTATTATATACCTTCTTAAATAAAAAATCCAAACACATTTAATTACCAACACAACTAATGCAAAGTGTTAAAATCTCACAAATTTACATTTGAAAATGTAAAAACAGTGTAAATTACATTAAAACCACAATGCATCGTTCAGTTCCACTAAAACGATTTTTAAAAGCACGGCATAGTCGGTATAGTGCAAGGCGTACACTGTACAGCTATTTAATGCGTATAGAGCTAAGTAGCTCAGTTTTAGACTCGCATTCAAGGAACTCTAAAGAGAGAGAAAAAAGAAACAATGCGCATACGCTCCAAACGAGGTATTCAGTGGCGCGGCATAATTATTGTGTAGTGTACCGTCGAGGAGATTTGTTACACACGAATAAACCGGCTTTTAAACGCGAACTAAGACGAAACTACGCTTTTATTTTCAAGATTTTTCAATGTTTTAAGACTTTCTATAGTATTTTCTTAGTAATTAGCTGGTTTTAGTGTTTATTTAGTATGAAATTGGGTTGGGGTTTTTTAAATTATTCTTTTTAATGTGATTTTTTACATGAATAAATAAATTATGTAAAAATATCTATAAAAACAATCAATATATCTAAATTATTAATATCGACTATCAATATTACAACTTATACCATACCACAAGTGCGAAGGGAAATCTAAATATAGAACCTACTAAGATTATTTTGCAAAAAATTGCCAATTTCAATGAACATTGTAATTAAATATAAAAACCAACTGTCACATATAGTTTGGTCGCACATTTTACGAGGGGTAAAGATCGCGAGATGGCGACGAGCGTACCTGAGTAGCCGTTAGCCGCACGTCTCATATATCATCTTAATTAAATTTCCCCGTCAGGAGCTTATTTACATGATTGTACCTGGACTTTTATGTATTGAGTGTGGTCGAGTGCTGGCCTGAACGTTGAACGACTAATTTAATAAATGGTGTAGATGATTTAAAAAATATATATACCAGCTTTCATGTGACGTATGTTTTTGCATAGCAGAGCATTCTGTGTAAAATCGGGTATATCTGTTTACTTCATTTTTAGTATTCTGTGTGAAATTGAGAATATTTGTTTGCTTCATTTTTAGTATGAATGCCAAAAAAACAGAAAAATAGGCAGTTTACCGGAAAGCTAGATAGATAAAGCAATACATTAATTTAATAAAATGGCCACTATTATTAAAATATTCACTAATTATTCGAATACGTCTCTACACATAAGGTATGTTTGAAATATATAACACCAAGCCAAACTACATTTTAGTAAATTATCATAATGGCGTATCTAACATTTTTATATTTAATTTATATTTAATGTGGAAGATGGCTATAAAGATAAATTTTTATGAACAGAGTTGACCCTACTATAAGTAATATATTAATGCTAATATTGTGCTTTTAAAACTTGTCTAAAATAATACAAGAACATTTTTATCAAACTTTGCCCGACTTAGCGAATTAGGTATTATTCGAATATGTGTGTTAAATGGTTCTAAGGACAATATACGTAAGTTCTTAAATAAATACATTTTTAAAATCTTTAAACAATATGAAATAATAAGAATATAAATGTGCATATCAAATTAATTTGCTCAAACACTCAACTAGAAGCATCCATAGTATTATTGTTACGACGAAACCCAGTTGGTAAGGCGTGCAAATCGGACTATTATAAATGCGAAAGTTTGTATGTTGTAATGTTTGTTACTCCTTATCAATAAAACGGCTGGACCTATTTGGATAAAATTTAGTAGTGTATTAACACATAGGCTACAGCTAAGCGAAGCGAGGATGTGTCGTTAGTATAAATATTTACAAGACGAATATCACTTTGTCAAATATACATATGTATACATAAAGAACATACATACACACATCGATTTTTTGTTATATAGATTTGTAAGTTTATATAGTGATTTCGCTGACATTGGAGGCACTGTAATACGATTTTGACGGATGCGGTATTAAACGATGAGTGTGACTTGTTGAAAAGTGTAAGATTACAATTTCGTGCCTGACCCGTTGATGTTTTATTGCTTTCATTTTGTAACCGTTTTTAATTTTAACATACTTAAATTATTTCATGTTACTTTGTTTATTTCTACCTACGGGCTTGTTAAAACAGCTTGTTATGTTGTCAAATTTAGATTAAAACATAAAAGTATAAAAAGATTTTTAATTTGTCTCTAAAATAAAGTCAAAATCCTTATGTATGTACATATAAATAAATATATAAATATGTTGAGACTTTAACACACAGCACCATCTAATTCCATGGTAAGCTACGAGGCTTGTGTTATGGATACCAGATAGTTGATACACTACACATATATAACATTAGGAAACCAGGATCTGATGATGGCATCCCAGAGAAATCGAGGTTAACCATCGAAAATCGTTGAGGCAACTAGTGCGTTTGTTAATTTTTTTCATTAAGCATTTTAAAACACTACTATTTAATGAAGATCTGGAGTCGATCTGAAGATGGACCAGAAAGACAGTCGAGGGAACTCCTCAACGATTTACAGCAATTACCTGGTGTTTGGGCTTGATTAATTTGTATTGATGAGAACTTTACACCTAGATGGTTACGACTGTAAATAGCTAACCAATGCAAATAAAAGCACACCGACTTCGAAAATATCTGATTAGGTAGGTATCTATTCTAAATGAAAACCCCCGTTTAGTTATATTTAAAATGATAACCCTTAACAAATTTCATACTAAACTTTTCTTTAAACGTAACATATCATTTCAATTTCAAAATACAACGAAATAAATCTAGCAAACTATTACATTAAACTATTTAAAGAGATGTTAAACTTGTGATAAAATGAAAACCCCTCAATTACTGTACAAAACGACATTTGAAACAATTAGCCCTAACGCGATTCGCTACATCTGTCCAACTTATCAGATCGGGGTCTGATCGCTGATAGCATGCGATACAGGGGTGTGTAATGTCAAATGACACTGCTTAGTAATAGTAAAAAGAGAACGAGTTGCAGAGTTATTATTATTAGATTTTTTTATATAATAGAAAAACTAGATTCTCATATGAGCCTGTCGACTAATTTGAATTAACTTTCTATAATAGATATTGCTACTGGAAACTAAAAATTTATGGGAATGCATGACTTATTCTGACCAGGTGGCTTGATAAAACTAGTTGTTTAAGTCATTTACTTACACACTCGTATTTATTTTTCTAATGCTATCTATATGTATATAGCGAACATTAATATATAAACCCACTAGGGACTCATCTTTGCTTCACTTGGGTTCGTCCCTAGGTAAGTTTTAACGGCTAATATGGAATAGATAGACTATATACCTATTAAATGATATGTAACCTATAGCCTTCCTCAATAAACGGGCTATCTAATGCAAATAGAATTTTTCAAATCAATTTATTAGTTTCTGAGATTAGCGCCTTTAAACAAACAAACTCTGTCTCTTTATAATATTAGTATAGATTACCAATGTAAAATAATTAGTATTTAAATCGATATAAACTTCTGTACAGTCAAAAAACTTTTTTTGTTCTTACTTCTTAGGAACTTGCAGCCTCCATCATCTACATCGTACTAGCCAGACATCACTGTGCCATATCTCTAAACAAATAGGTTACAACGTTACGGTCCCATATTATGTATATCACACACTGCAATAAGGGCGTAACCCAGTGCTTTATCGCTGTATCGCCAACCGTTTACTTTGACATTATAATTTGCGCCTAACAAAACGATCATCGTTATTACACGCATGTGACGAATGCACTTATATAGTCATGCCAGAATAATTATAATTTTTATTCGCCTTACTCATGTATTTATGCTAGGTTTTTATTTCAACCTTAACTTTTTTCGAAGTGGATAAATAAGGAAAATGTTTTGTCTGTTATGCTAAATGAATAATATATTTTTTTGTATAAATAAAACTAAATAATTAAACAAAAAATGTATAAGTATAAACAAATAATGCTAATTGATATTTGTTTACATTTAAACTAAAATTTAAAATATAAAAAAAAAACATTTTTTTTTTTATTTCAAGCATTTTTTTAATCGATCGCTGTTTTAAGTTTTACAGCAAACTATTCATTTAAAATATATCGCACGTTACATAGGCGCTAATGATAACACAATAATTAGTGGGCATTCACTTTAATTAAGTAAAAAAGTAATTAGTCTATAGACATATGTATAGTAAAATTCTGAGTCAAATCTGTACATTTAATATTTTTTTAAAAATCTTATTGAAATAGTCATTATCATCATCATTTAATTCTCGATACAGAAGCCGAATCTATAGTTTTTAGAAATTTTTGTCTGTCTGTCAGTCTGTCTGTCTGTCTGGGAACGTTTCAAGAGAAAACCACTGGATAGATTTTGATAAAATTTGGTATGACGATAGCTGTTTATCCGAGTCAACATATAGGATACTTTTTACTCCAGGAAAATATGTCATCTCTGAGAAATCTATTTGTATTCACCCCTTTTTAACGCCCCACTGCTGGGCACGGGCCTCCCTTCAGTCCGAGGGGAAGGAATCAAGCCACAGTCTACCACGCTAGCCAAGTGCGAGTTGTCGGACTTCACATGTCTTTTGAAAACTTGCTAGGTTCTCTCAGACATGCAGATTTCCTTACGATGTTTTCCTTCACCGTTAAGACAAGTAGTAATCATGTAAGAAATGATTCGCACATGAAAATATCAGAGGTGCGAGACCCGGGATTTGAACTCGCTTCACTCGGTTTCCAAAACGAATGCGTTACCACTGGGATACCACAGCCTTAAAAATATAGATAAAATATATTTCTTCGCTAGTCTGTAATATTATTTCACTGTCATTTAACTAACTGTTAACATTGGTTTAACCGTGACATATCATTTTATACTATCTATCGGATTGTTTAAATCTTTGGAAACCGCATCACCTAAGTCCTAAAGTAAACAAAAGCTTTATTTTAACAATTAAACTAAACAAAAGCATTATTACAAAAAAGTACTAAGATATGAATTTTAAAATTAAACAGTTTTGAGACTTACCTTGAATGATGCGTGAATAGATCAGACTTAGAAGGCGGCGGAGGGACTAGCGCAGGGCCCAGGCCCAGCCCCAGACCACCGCCCAACGTTGGAGAAAATCGGTATAATTCGCTGTAACAAAACACACCCCGTTAATATATTTAGTAATTTATTATTTAATACTATTATGTGATAAATTAATTAATATTTTATAAATATTTAAATATCATGGATATGAAATACGAACTGTTATAATAGGAATTAGTTACGTTATTTCAACTATTGTGTAATTGAATTAATATGATATCTCATATTATTATTATATTAAAATGATATCAATTTTTTTTTAAATCAAGTGCGATTCGAATTCGCACGCGAAAAGTTCCGCACCATCGTACATGTATCATTTATTAATATGACTTTTACTCTACTCCGATAATCGATTACGAACGTTAAATAAAATGTTTCTTGTATATTTATTTTTTCATTTTTATAAGTTGCTGTGAAAATTTCAACTCTACCTATTACGGTTCATGAGATACACCCTTCTGACAGACAGGCGAACGAACGGACAGCGGAGGCTTAGAAATTCGGATAAAAAAAATTGCAGTTTATGGAAATTAGTATTTATTTCAAAATCTATAAATAACAATAAATCACCGTACGTGTCGATAAGAATATTATATAATATATAATATCGCTCGTAAAATAAAGTAGTTTGTGAAATTAGAGTAATTAATGTCGTTAAGCTATCTCTTGATATCTGATTGATTTGAGAGATAAAACATTATTCGTGTTGTTTTAATGTGTTCTTGGAAAATGCGATCAATCTCATCACGTTGAGAATAGTCCACGATATGTGTAGTATTTAATTGCACCATTTACTTCGCTTAATGTGTTTGTGGGTGACGTAGATAGAGACGTAGAGAGCTCATTCTCTTACTCTACAGATTATAAGTTTAAAGCAAAATGGATGGTATTTGAACGTTAAATGATTTAAATATATTAAATTATACTAAATTTAGAAATGCAAATAACAATTTCATATGGCGTTAATATAGAAATTTGAACTTTATAACATAAAATAGAAACCTGATTATTAGAAATTTAAATGGCATTGATGTTGTGCATTACTTATGTATTAGTTTATATTCGAAATACATATTGATGCGACTCGATAGAGCACTTCGTGTTCACTTGTAGCTTTGAGCTGTTTGAGTTTTGTTCGTTAAGTGTTTTACCTTAATTATGTAAAAACATTTTGTTAACACATTTCATTGGCAATACCTAGATTTTGTTCATGTATGTATAATTTGTTTTTTTATTTCAATTCAATTTCAATATTTTCATATTTTAATTCAATTCGTTTTATTTTTAAATAATATATTATTATCATACGAGTATCCTGAGACTGAGGTAGACGGAGCCCACCAAATTCAAATTCTTTTACTAATTTAATTATTTTATTTAAAATTTTATATATTATTTTAAAATATATAATAATTATTAAATTAATATACAATTTTAAAAAATATATAAATAATAAAAATAATACTACCAATAATAATAATTATACTATAAATTCTTTTATATTTTTTTAGCTTAATAATATTTTTTTTCTTATTATAATAAAATCCCTTAGCAATTTTTATTTATTAGCAACTAGCTGCTCACCCTCGCTTCGCTCGGGTTCGTCGCTAGGTACGTTTTAAATAGATATAAATAGTTATTAGCCAGCGTTAGCCATATACATTTTAATTTTATTTTCCTTAATTTTTCAATTTTTGCTTTCATAGGAACCTTCTCCTGACAACAAACACAACAAAAAAAATAGTTAAATCGGTCCAGCCGTTCACGCGGGATGGCGTGACCAAGGGAAATAGGGATTCATTTTTATATATATAGATTATTTACTTTAATAATATTAAGTATTTAAAACATTATTATTCGGCTTTATGTTTATTTCTATGACACTCTGTGTGAGACTCCTTAGCCTGAGTCACATATTGGCAATAAATCATGTATAAATGGCAGAATAAAGTTAAATATATTTTACCTTGATAGACTAGAACTGCTAATAGGCAGCGACGTGGGGTAAGGACTCCGGAAGCCACTCGCTGCCGAAGATATAGGGTACATGCTTGGGGTATGCCTGAAAAGAAATTAAGATGTGAAATATATATGTAAATATCTGTAATATTTTTAATATAGTAACAAAACCGTTTTAGTTTCATTTGTTTAAAATTAAATTACAAATACGTTTTAAATTTTATTATATAATAAAATAGCGACTCATCCCCACTTCGCTCCGGTGCATCCCTAGGTATGTTTTAATTTTTTGAAGCAGAACTCTTATTGTTTTCCTAAAATAAAAGTAGCCTAAGTTACTCCTTACAACATCAGCTATTTGCCAGTGAAAGTTCCGTCAAAATCAGTCCAGGCGTTTCGGAAATAAGCCGGAACAAACAGACAGACAAACATTTTAAAAATTGTGTTTTTCTTATAAGTACCGTATATACATAATTTCACATTTATTTATTATTTTTTTATTTATTTATTTATTTATGTACCATAAAATATACGTTATACAAAATAAAATAACAAAATGTTGACAAAGGATAACTTATCTCTTTAAGAGATTTCTTCCAGAAACCCTTCAGAAGTGAGAAAATAAGTTAATATAGTGCGGTGTAGGTACAGTACAGCATTGAATGGAATTGTCTTATTATTAAAATACATTTTACAAACAAACACACTTCAATTTTATTTATCTGTATAGATGTATAGATAGATAAACTACGAACTAAGCAAATAAAAACTATAACCTATATATAATGTATAAAAGTGTAGTTTTAATAATATTTATAATTATTATAATCACGAACATTCCCCTACAAAAAGTGTAAGTGTTAAAGAAAAAAACCTGTTCACTTAGGTTCTCTAAAATAAGAAATAAGTTATTTCAATAGAAATAATAATAAATAAAATATTACCATGAGGCCGCAACCTGCGACATCTCAGGACTGAGCATGGGGTAAGGGTATGTACCCCCTGGAAAGGGGTACATTGGCGTCCGTGCGAGCCCTGCAGCTGTAACAAACATTGCATTAGATATTTCTATAGCATTTTCGTTCCATAACATTATTTCTATTTACATTTCAAGTAACGTAAGTCATGTATAGAAAATATCTACATAGTAAGCAACAATAATATATTCAAACATATTCAACATTTGCATACAAACTAAGAATCGATGAAAGTCTATAAAGAGTTTTGAACGATTAAAATGAACTTTGCAAGGTCTAGTCAAATGGGCTTAATATTCATTACTTACCCAACTTGGAGTCTAGCTGGTAGGGGGGAGGGATGCCCATATGTGCGGGCGGGGGCTGTCCCAGGTCACCGCCGGGACAAAACAGTGACAGGCTACCACCCGCCGGTAGACCCATCTTGCCAGCCTGGAACAAATTAAATTATCTTTAAAAATATATTCAGACACACCTTATGTAGAATCGTCATGAATAATTTAAAATTGTCTTTTTCGGTAGAAGAATAAGTCATTAGTAGTTTATATATGTTATTTAATCCCTCCACGACCGCGGACACGCCTGCGTTACAGTTAACAATATTTCTTAAAAATTTAATTAATTTCTTAGAAATTTACCTGGAGGTGTTAAATAATTAATAATATAATAAATAAATCTTTAAGAGGCTGCTTTATCTGGAAAACACTTGGAATGTTAGACTACATTTTTATCTCAGGTGTACTACACATAGCTCGCAGTGTTAGATCGCAAATAAAACAAATGTAGGTACATCAATTACATCAATCTAAATGCAGCAACAAGATACAAAATGAACAAGATAAAAGGCGCTTAAAATACATCGGAACACACGAACAAAACCGAGGGAGTGTGCAAGACGCGTCATTAGCAAGTAAATTGGCGGCGGTGCCGTATAAATTTCGACCTACCCTCCCGCCCAATTATGCAAAATGGCGCCCGACGAGGGCCATTCAACCGCGCCGTACTTCCGAGTGTCTCACCTCTAATTAAACTGGATCTTCTTTTCAGCACTTTATTATGCGAAATAAACGACAGGATCGTTGGTGACACGTAGGCGTAAATTAATTATGGTGTTTTCATGAGAATCCCTGAATGGTAGTGTTTTGTGTGATTCCATTCGCTTTTGAATATCAACTTTTATTTATGTTGCATAAAAGGCACAGTCCGAATACTTCAGTTTGTATAAAATTTAAAAAATGTTAAAGTACTGACGTTTACTTGTGTCGTTGTAATTAATCCGCTTACTTCTGTAGCTTGCATTATTTTCTATGACCACATGAAAAATTTTTTTATAAAAGATCATCATAAAACTAGATTTAAATTATAAAAAGAGGGTGAGCGTATCTTTAAGGCATGAACTATTCAACTTATTATGTAAGATTATAATTCTAATGCTTAAAGCTTTAAAAACGAGTTTAACATACTTCATGTCTCTTTAACCCATTTAAAAGCAAACTCACTGACAATTCCTTCGCCGCTCCTTCACATTCGAGCAGGAACTACTTATTAAGACAATAATTACCACGAACAAAGAGTCCCCACTAATTAATAATAAAACACGCACAAACAAAGCCCTCCATTCACGCTCGGGACAGCGGATAAAAAAAATAAAAAGATAAAAAAATAACCAAAACGGTGGTCGAAAAGCCTCAACATGCGAGGAAGAACAAAAAAATCCATAGACAATGATGACAGTCGAGATGCATAATGCGGGAGCAGAGCGCGTTCTTAATTTGAAAATATTTCCATAATAAGATTTGTCTATGGTGCGACCAGTAACAAAAGATGCCCGACCTTTGTTCAACTGACAGCTCATAATAATTTAAAGAAATTAAATCACGCGGTACAGTTATCGCAGACTTGGAGTTTGCTAGTTATTGGCTAAACAACTTTTCCCGTTAAAACTTACATTTTTGAAATTAGTAGGTTCGCGTCGCCTTTTCAGCTCTTCGCGTGTATTGAGAAGGTTCCTAATGAAGACCAGGTGGAGTGGTCGGCTATAGAAGGTACGTCGAGAGGGTAGTTATTGAAAGCATGAAAGCACCGCGTGACGTCACCGCCACTCAAGCGACAAGCTCCAGTCGCTAATTGGAACTCGTGGCGATAGGACGCGAGAAATGTTGCCTCAATCGACTAATACTTCAAAATTGAATAGGTTTGTTAACGAGCGGCCGGCTGAATGTTGCGAATGGAGTCGAGTGCTTGGTTAGCATTCGTTAACTACCTTATACGTACGTCTATTTTTATTTCTTTTATAAATAGAAGCCTTCAAGTTTTATGATTATAATGCAGAGGCAATAACGGCTAGGTGGCCGTCGATGTCACGAGATTTCAGTACAAAATGGAATTTCACGAGATCGCAGCGGACTCTAAACGGACTCACACTAGCGTACGCTACACCCCTTTAGTTCACCAATGCGAACGAAGTAGGGCGTAATATCTTGAGAGTTCGCCCCCAGGGTAGTGGGCGTGGAAATAGGATGCTGCGTTGCTATGACGACCATGTGTAGGGGTAGCGTTCACGTGCTCTGGGGCGGTGTGGGTGTAGGGAGGCGCTGAGTTAGTGTGCGTTTAGACTGCCAGTCGGGCGACCTTGGAAGTTTCGGCCGAGTTATAGTTGCATTTCTCTTTTTATGCAGGACAAAGTCACCAAAGCGTTAACCTTGACAAATGAAACTTTTTTCACAAAATAATGACTTACTATAACATTTTCTCGAATATTTATATAATAAGTACTCTAATGTCGAAGGGTATATTACGATTTCTAAACAAGTATGCTCAAAAAATCAGTCTACCCTCGGCGGTTATTCCGCATCATTTCTTATACATTTCCGCCATTGGTCCTTCGAACCGGATATGAGCGCTGCCGGAACCTTATAACGAGAAAAGCGCCGAATATATATTTCATACGCTCTTTGTAGTGAGAGCCTTTTGTAATATAGGGGTTACAATATAGAATATTTTAATACTAATATTTGTTCGTTTCAACTTGCAAGAGTCTTATGGCATTGACAATATTTAAATCTTAATTAATATTGCACTAGTATTAAAAAAAAATATTAGAAAAAAAAATGATTATTAGATTGTTAAATTTATAACACCCTCAAAAGAGAGTAGGAAAAGTCTAAAACTTCAATTTTGGAGGGTAAAATATTCAAATCTACAAATCGGGGTGGTACTTAGGGCAGGGGTTGTTGACCTTTTTCCGGAGGCTGGTATGCGAAGATCGAAATAGACGTATATAAACAGAGGATATACAGAAAATGTATAAGATTAAGTAAATAAAAAGACGAAGAAAAATAAATTCATTATAGCAATTTGGTAACTAGTCAGTTATTTGTCCAAGTAGTTATGTACTATAAATGACACAATTTTTTTATGTTCTTACATAAGTGCGACGTACATACGCCACGATTTAAGGATTTTGAAGAAATCTCTCTTTTAAAACAGTGTGTTGTCTGTCTCTGAAATGCCATTGTCTTCCCCATTCATTCTCTCAAGATGCCCTCACCTGTACACTCGTATGTCATCATTAGTTGTAGAAATAACTACACGCAAAGTAAGCTATTTGCGTCAACCTGTAGGGCATTCTCAGCGCCAGCTTAGGGCGCCGGATAGTGCCAATTGAGCTCTTGACCTATAGTCCTTGATTTTCCTTTTTCTTATCACTTATTTGAATTGTTTTATATTATTGCGTTACCATTTTTCTCAGTTATTATTTATATAAAAAAACTTGTATGTCTTTTTTAAGTTTTAGAACAAAATTGGCTAACTAATTATCTTATAAGTAAATTACTTTTTAAGTAAAATGATGTTAAACCTATGTAGAGTATTATAAGTTATAATATAACTTTTATAACATCAAGTCTAAGCTAATCAATACATTGCTCTTGGCGTTTCTAGTTTGCTATATCCAGGAGCGGAGGGTATGCCAATTATGTTTTTGACGGCACTGCCTCGGAATTGGAAGGGGTTTCGGTTATGTACGAGGGTATGAATTTACATAAAGGGTTATTTTATGACATTTTTACTATGTAACAGATTTTAAATAAAAAGCTTTATAAATTGTAAATAGAGATCAGGCAAAGTTTCCATAGCCCCGTGTGTGTTTTATATAAATAAGTGACAAACAAAAACAAATCTATTCCACGGGAACCGTACATTTTTCCGGGATAAAAGTAGCTTTCTTGTTATTCTGATGTATGAACTATATTATTGTACACCTACAGTTTCATTAAAATCCAATCAGTAGTTTTTGTGTACTAAGCTGTATAAATTACTATAGTTTTTTTTACTTTCCCAGGGGAACTATTTAATTTTCCGGGATGAAAAGTATCTACAATGTTGACCGGGGATATAAGGTACAACCACGCAAAATTTCATTTAAATCGGTTTAACAGTTTCGGAGATTAGCCCGTACAAACAGACAAGCAAACAAACATATAAACAGACAAACAGAGAAACAAAAAAGAAATGAAAAAAATCTGGTTTTGTTCTATTTCTTTTCTTACATCCCCCTGACTCGATTTTTAGCATTTATTTTCTATGTACACACATTCGACCTCTACAGTATTATTTTAAGTATAGATGATAAAAATATGCGTACTACTGAATCTTAAGAATTTAAAACTCTTGAAGCTTTTTAATAATGCCTGATTATTCTACAATAAAATTCTAGTTCTTAAACAGTAACTTAAAGCAAAAACAAACAAAAGAAATAAAAACACGTTTTCTAAGGCCAGAAAGCGCAATTTGAAATATTCATCACTGTTGTTTTTGCCCTGTTGATATGTAATTGCAAATTGCACACATATCTCCTTGGGAGAAACACGCAAAATTGTCATCAGGAATCTTTAATTAAACGGATGTGGTTAAAACGAAAGTGATCAAACTATTCGCCTTGACACACCTAACCTGTAGCCATTAATCTCAATATGCTAACCACTGAGTCACTGTGACTCACTCCATGTAAATTATGAGGCTTGTTCAAATATGGATATTATATTTCGATACAATTGTTTTGTTGGCAACGATTGAGTCAATTTCGTGAACCAAAACAGGACCAATTAATAAAATGTAAAAGTTACTGATAGTTTTGACTGAAATAAAATATTCAATATGAAAAACTATTTCTGATATTTTATTTATGTTCCTAAATTCAATTTATTTTAACTTTAAGCTAACTATAGTTTGATTTTAAATAAAAAACAATCAATAAAATAAATAGACATTAATTATACCCCTACACATACCCTATATAAGTACTGTCCCTCCTCCATCGAACAACAAAATTCCTCATCAACATTAACGTTTCAGAGTGTCACATACTTTACTTCTTAATCTTTAACTATCAAGTTTTCAACATGTAAAGCATTTTAGATGCGCGTGCGCCGAATCCTCACCATATCTCTCACTCCCGAGATTATAAGAATCTTCCAGATATATTACATTAAATGCTATTGAATTTTAGGCTATAATACTATTGCAAATGATATATTTTAGTAGAGCTATTGTGAGTTTAAAATTAAATACGTTTGAATGATTGTCTATACAGTTAACTGTAAAAGTTCTTGTCCCAGGGATTGCATTACATCGCGATGATACTCTCGTCCCGGCTCAATTGTTTTATGAAATCTACTTATACAAGTTATAAGATATATTTTTTGTTAGAGAATATTGTAATTGTTCTTCTTTTGATGTCAATAGGTATAACATGCTATACATATATGTCTTCAATATCATTTCATTAGAGATACGAAAAATTATAACTTACTTAAGTTTTGTTATTACACAATATACAATACACTCATATATTACATATGGAAATAGGTATATGTCATTTATTACCAAACAAACTTTTGTCATAGTATGTTCAAGGGCTAAATTTGAGAGAAAATATTAAAATATTTATACATATATTATTCTCAATCTTAAAAATAAAATTTCTTTTCGTGAAAAGCGATTGTTAAAAATGTATTTTATTTTAATACTAGTATTGCCCGTCGCTCCGCCCGCGTTCAGATGACCAAAAACCAAATTCTTAGGTTTTACATATTAGTATACTCTTACATTACACTTTTTGTATTTTTTCTCAGAAATGAGGTATTTTCCCGCGATAAAAAGTATCCTATATGTTAACCCGGATAACCAGCTATCACCATACTCAACTTCATTAAAATCCCTCCAGTGGTTTTTCTGTGATGCGGTAACAGACAGACAAAAATTCTAAAAACTATAGATTCGGCCTCTGTATCGATAATAATGTTTATTTCAATAAGATTTTCCAAAAAATATCTAATGTTAAATTTTCTTTCTAAATATACGGTAATAAAAATAATTATCGAGTATTGACGGCGTACATGATAGATCAAACGCGATTAGTGAGTGGTTAAAACAAAATAGCCCTCTAATAGCATCAGCTAATGTGACACTAATCATACCGTGTTGAGTTAGAATGTGTCTTCGTATTGAAAGGCATATTCTGGGACAAATAAATGAAACAAAAAACAAATATGTACCTTTCATATTTCGATACATTATTTATATAAACGTTTAAGGAAATATAATTCAGAATATGTTAGGTCATTAGTTACTTTCTTTTTGAAGGACATCAAACATTTAATTCGATTATGATTCTAGTATATTATGCAGAATACTTTCCCTAACAGGAAAATCCTGAACAATTTCGTAGGAACTGATTAAATATCCAACACTGTTACTAGTTTATGAAACACTTCTAGAATAGTTCTGTGGGAAAGCGTGGCCAATGTACGGGGACATGTTTAATAAACAAGCGGCAATTAAAGCACACGACACGTCAAAGGGTTAATATCAGGTTGTCCGTATACAAGCGTTTATCATTAGAGGGATGGATTTTTAATTAAATATGGAAAATACTACTGGAAGAAAATATTTTATTGTATCTTCAACTTGTTAAGACGAGTCAATTTCATATTAAAAGTTAAAACTTTGAAAATATTAGTAAAGTGGCAAAATATTAAGCAAAATCAATGTTAGGGAAACTAAAAAAGTTTCTTCAGTAGCGATAATATTTTCGCCGAAATATCAAAGTTAAAAATCATCGACGAAAATTAATATACAAAATGTTGACAGCCTGAAAATTACTTAATCCTTTAAAGTCAGGCGCAAAATTCGATCATTTTTTGCAATATTCTACTCAATTTCCAGCGTAATAAACAGGTGGGGTTGTGTGCAGTTGACGGCGCCCGCAGCGCGACTTCAAAGGATACAAATGTATGAATTGTTTAGCGAAATTCACCCGCGGGCAGGCCCTTCCGACCTGCGATTATGTAAAATTCGGATGTTATTTTGTATATTGAAACAAATATGTACAATTCTAGTTAAACGATCCATAAAATGTTTCCTATTTTAATATATAAAATAATATCTATATAAGTAAATAGCACTAGATATTGTATTTTTGAATAATATTGGAGAGAATTTTAATTATTAGTACATATCAAGAAATATAATCAAAAAAGAAGTACAAATTGAGAAAATGTTATATAAACAACTGATTTTCAATTCAAATTTGACTGAAAAGAACCTAGCCTCGAGTCACCCCGAATCAAACGAGTTTTTTATCTTAAATTATTGTTTTACTAGAATATAATTACATTCTAATAAGAAAAATACTCAAAATTTTACAAGACTCAAACTCGAAGATCATATAGTTTAATAATTAAATATAAATAATAAGCAATTATAAAATACGTAAAACGAAAATGTTTGTAATAAAGTAAAATAAATAAGTTTTTTGAAAATATGACAAAAGAATAAAGTAGTAAACGCTACGCATGTGGCGTACCGTTCACTAGCAATGTTTAAAAATTAACCAGGGTCGGTGGCGCCCGCGCGAGTGACGTACAGGTTAACTACTTCGCATTATAGTTTATACGCAGTTATTGCGTAAAATTATCAGATTCTTGGATTTTTAAATAACGAGTATTTCCTCATTATTTAAAAATCCAAGAATTTTTTGCCCTCGTGATTCATGAATATTTGTTCAATTGTTTTTTTTTGTAATTTTTATGTTTGTCATTACATATCAACTAGGTATGTATAATATTATTATTACAGTAAGTCCTTATATAATCACAAAAGTTTAATTCTATATCCCGTTATTATCCCTTGAAATAAGGCATCCTTAAAATTAACCAAACTACTTATAAATCCATCAAGTTTTTCCCACATGAGCTTTCTTACTTTTCAATTATTATTTATTATCCTATAACAAAAAAATGAACATTACTATAATTTTAATATAAATATTAAATATAATTCAGAAGCAAAATATACTATTCATATAAGATGTGCAGTTTGTATGTATTAGTTCAATTAGGTCTATTAAACAAAACAGTGGTTAATACTTTTTCCATAAAGAGATTATAATACAATCTATTTCTAGATCAACGCAAAAACAATGAGAAAGATAAACATTTGATTTCAAAACCATAAAGCACTGCAGTGTTCATTTAAAATTCTGCGTGCGTCCACCATTAATTATTGGAAACGATACACGCCGAGGTTACGTATAGTAATTACGTTTACAATTGTAAAAAATATTATTTTCCTACCCTTTAAAGTCGTTATGATCATTTATAGTAAGACATCAAGAAGATTTTCAAAAGTAAAGGCTTTTCCATGGAAAAAAATGATATATCCCATAAAATGTATTAGATTTTAATTCAAACACTATAAAAATCAATATGCTTGGTTGACATGAGCACGATACGTTTTGTGGTTGTTTAAGGGCTGCCACTATAAACATTTTTTAAAAATGTTTTATAAAAATATTTCCAAAGGTTATACTCGTAAGGTACGGTTATATATAGTGCGTTGATTTATGATTTTTTTTATAATTTGCTAATTTAAAAATTTATATTTTTTAATCATTATTTAATTATATTTAATTAATTAAACACGTACATAATAATTATTAAAAATTTAAGTCACAAATTTAAATATATTTTGTATAAAATAAACAAAATAAATTTTTATTGTTATATTTACAGAAAGATTCTTAAGAATGAAACGAGAGAGCCCTAGAGTTTTAAGTTATGCTCTAATTAGTAGAAAGCTCGCAATGAGTAAGGCATCTAAATATACGCGTTAGGTATTTGTTGCCTTATCAAGTCAGGTCCAAGACCATAAAGTACGTATACGGGACGCAATAAGTCTATTTTAATTACTGGCCGATATCGGCAGATTCCTGTCTTGCCTACTCGGGAGCCGTGCTCTACTACATCGAGGGATGTAATGTTTATTTATCGATAGTAAACTAACATAGTAGGTACTATCTTAAAATGGTAATGAAGAATAAATTGGTTGTAAAAAGCGTTATGTGAGATTATCCTTTACATTTAAAACCATTGATCCTTATTTCTTGATACTTTTATTCCGTGATTTAAATTACAAATCTATTAATTAGCGCGCAAGTCTCTATACTCATAGGGTACAAATTGACCAGGAGCTGGGTTGGACCGTTTCACAATCATTTACGTATACTTTACATACATTTATGTTAAATTTTAATATAAATAAAATAAATTAATCTTAATATGCGAGGCCAGTGGAGATTAATGATAGGTTAAATAATTTTAATACAACATAAGTGACTTTATAAGCTTTTTTCGTAAATATCTATTTATATAAATTAAAAAAAATAATTTTAAGTGACTTCAAGCTATTTCTGCGAAAAAGTATATTATCATTAGTATTCAGGTGAAATCACGTTGCTAACCTAAAATATAAACGTCATTAAAAGCAAGCTGCTTCCATATTAATATAATTTCGCCCCGTCGATATCGATAAAATTAATTCAATCATCGTTCTAACACTACCTAACACAAACAAGACTCGATAACGAGGTGAAATATTCACATTGCGAGCTATACAATCGTTTATACAGTTGTCCCACTCGCACTTAGAAGCTTAGGAGCTTCTGGCGAGAGAAACGAAAAAGACGGCACGTGCCGGCGGCAAATACAAAGGGGTCGAGCTCTCTTTGATCTCGCCGCCGCGCGTGCGTACGGTGTGTTTAGGCGTGTGTGCGTTTATGCAGATGAGATGAGGCTCAGAATTTGATAATTGCAAAGATTTATAAGATTCGCCCAGGTCCTATATCGGAGGTTAAATTTGATATACATACATAATTAATTGATATTCATCATGTTATCGCGGAACTCACTCAATGTGTGCTTACATGACTATTTTAGAACTTGAAATATTTATTTTAATCAATAAATATTAAAGAAATTCATTTTTAATTAGCCTTTTTATTAATAACAAACTGTTTTATGTTGTATATGTGTATAATAATTTTTATTTTTATTGGGAATTCAAATTCATAATAAATATCATATAATGCAAAAAAATAAAAAGTAATTCGCGCAAATAGAACCATTTTTCATTCAAAATGAAAATCAAGATCTCTTAAATATTGTTTTCCAAGAAATTGCAGATGAAACATACTTTGCAAATTGCAATATGCATGATTTATAAGTCATCAATTATTTTATTAAGTTTTTTGACTGATTTATTATTTTCTATCTTACAGCAGTAATATCAATTAAACATGAATATTTCCTTTTAAGCGAATCACTCGATCGCAAGGTGGAAAGCGTCCATATCGTTACGTAACGTAACCTTGTTAAGGTGTCAGCTTAATTGATAACGAGATAACGCATTAATCGCTGTAATGGCGCTCTGACAGTTATCGGATATTGTTTTGACGATGAAAGACTTTTTTTTGGGACATTAACACTCAGCACCATCTAGTTCCATGGTAAGCAACGAGACTTGTGTTATGGATACCAGATGATTGATACACTACACATATATGTATATAATTTTAAATACATATTACATACATTTTATAAATATAAGCACCCATGACTGGAATACAAGCATTCGTGATCATCACTCAAATGACTTCCGCCAGCGGGACTCGAACCCGCGACCGCTGGCACAGCAAGTAGGGTTACTACAAACTGAGTCAGACATGTCATAAAACAACAATTGAACTCAACTACAACTCATTGCTCTGAATAATATAAAAATTAAATCCTATTATTTTTTTACTACTTTTAAGTTTTAGGTTTTATTTTTTCTTTTTTTAACTCTTTTGAGCACAAGTTAAATACATCATCTTAGCATCAGATAATTATAGAGATAATTATTAATATTAAATATTTTATAAAACATTATTGATACTATTAATGCAGATCTGACTTTGTTTGTTCGTTCTTCAGTCACACAGAAATAGATGTATGTAGGTAGTTTATGGTCTGGAGGCTCCAAATAGTGACGTACATTCAATCACTTAAGAGAGTGATATGAATCATTTTCTTGCAATATTTTACTATTTATTTATAAATTTGAAGATCTAAGATATAATTCGTATACAAGATGAACAGAAAAATAGTAGTGTTTAATTAGCCCCTTCTATGTCCTTAGTAAATTTTAAGAGGAAATCAAAATTCTTAAGCCGAACATAACCTTAGTCAGTACAAATATTATTTGCCTCTGCTAGGTATTGAATGCATACAATCCGATGTACAAGTCTAGTCAATGTCAGTGCCAGGTCACTAGAACATTTTTCCTTCCTAGATCAACAATAATAATCAATATGCACCGCCTCCTCATTAGCGACGTGTAGGATAACCCCGTTAGTGTGAATAATTGGTAACGAGATAGCAAATAATGTTGTATATAGCTTCGAATTTAAAGTTAATGTTTTTAGAATAATTTGTCTCTTAAAGCAAATAATCTTAGCTTAAATCAAATTTTAAATAAAACTTGTAAAATTAAATATTACTTTAATTGTTTAATTTTCATTGACAGATTTCAAAAAAAAAAGATTCGATTCAAATTCTTTTATGCATATTTATGTTACGTAATTTCTTAAACGGATTTAATGATTCTTCTTTAGATAAATAAGTGTCTTCAAGGGTTCCAAATAAAATTTAAATTTCATTTTAAGGGTTGGAATGATTTCTAATGTTTGCACATACATATATATTTTAATTAAAAAATTATTACTCAATCAATTTCTAATATAAATTTTAAAGAGAACTATTGTAATTATAAAATTAGCCCTTATAAAATCAGAAGTTAAATATATTTTTTATTTATTAAATAAGAATAGGGCAATATATTAACAATAATATGTTAACATAAGTTAAAGCATTTCATGAAAGATATGTAAAGATATCCAAATCCAAATATCCTTAGTCCTTACTAATATTATAACATAAAAGTGGTTTAAAATGTAACAATGGAGCAGTGTATCGAATGTTTTTCGTTAGGTGAATTTAAGTTAGTTCATAGCAGAAATATGACGCAGGCTTATAGCATTTTTTCTCAGTACCTCTTAGACGAAAACATAGTAAATCACATAAAGTATACATGCGTAAATCTCGCGCGAAAAACTAAAAAGAAATAAGAAATTTCCAAAGTTCTGATTTCCCTGTCCATTGTCGTTTATATATTTTTTTTCATCTTATTTAGCGCTTTGTCGGCAGGCCCTTTGAAGTCCTCCCCCCCTCGGAGGGTGTTACAAATTGCGTCACGCTCGTATTTTGAAGCGTAAACATAGCCCGCTACCATATTTTCGTATGTCGGAAACAGAAATGTTATGTTTGTCATAATATAATAATTATCGTACGGTTAGTTTAACAATATGTAATAAAATTGTAGGAGTGACATTGTGTTTATTGAAAATGACTTTTTAAATGTCTTGTAATAATAATTATAAATATTCGTTATTCTTATAACCTTTCTTAGATTTCTTAGCTCTGATTATTTACAAAGATTTTCTTCATATATTTTTGTATTAGGTTATATTAGGTATCTATTCAAAAATATTACAAATCAATGGATTCAAATTAAGATGCCATTTACGAAAGATTGAAATGATTAAAAAGATAAGAATCAGTTAGAGTAAGGAGGCAAATTTTAAAAAGCCATGTAGATACTATAAACATTGTAGTCTAGAACAAATAGTAGTGTTTGTGTAATCTACGCGAATTTAGAGTAAGCCGGGTGGCGGGAGATTTGACAAGTTGGAATGTCAACAGCCGCTGACACAAACAGTCGACTGACCAAGTTGAAAAATATTTCACATTTTATATTCATATGAAAAATTCATATTTTGTAATATTCATCTGGATTTTAAAAGGTTTTTCTATCTATAGTAGGTAATAGTAATATAACAGTTGTGGTTGTCATTTTATGCAGTTATACTTACATTTGAAATGAAACTTATAAAATTCATTTCTGTATAAAGAATTATTTTGAGATTTTGATGTCAATTTAATGTACATACATTTTATATTATATGTAGTTAAGAAATGAGTGAAATTGTTTTATACTGTTTAATAAATATTTTTATATATCATAGAGAGAGAGAGAGAGAAAGAAAGAGAAAGAGAGAGAGAGAGAGAAATAAACTACCCAAAATAAAATAGGGCCCACCTCGATATAAGTTAAAAAAATGTTTATAATTGCTGAGGTAATTCATTGTAGTTTAAAGTGAAATACCATAAAGCAGATTAGTTTATGAGTTCTTACTTAATGTTTAAAGTGACAACTTTAATGTTTTTCGAAGTGGGTAGACAAAAACAGCAGAGGTACTTGAAAGTACCCAATACGTTAATTTCTAATCACTTATTTTCCTACGTTTGTTGAAAACGTTTGCAAAGAAACTTTTTACGTACAGCTGTTTTGTTTAACTTTAGTATTAGTTTTGGTTAGTATGTTTGGATTTCGCCGTCATAGAGACATGAAAACAGTGACTAGAGCAGTAATTTAGCTACAAGAGGGTAGAGGGATAATCTCAGTCATCTGTAGCGATACGTCTCTATGTGTCACGAAGAGCTAGTCGAAATCTTTGGAAACGCTACCAGGAAACAGGTAGCGCAGCAAGAAGACGGGAATCGGAAAGAACGCGTTCCACAACATCCCAGGAAGACCGGTATCAGGTTAACTGCGCGTCTGATCGTACTGTGACCGCACGAACTTTACAAAACAAACTGCGCAATCTAGTGATACACGTGCTAGTGATTAAAACATTTGAAACGGACACCTTAAGGATGGACAAATGGTCTAGAATGCGTGTCAACGTGAACCATGGATAACTGAAGGACTATGCTCTTTACAAATAAAACTAGGGTCATGGTTTTAGTGGCGTACGTGTATGGAGAAAAAAAGGAGAATGTTTTGTAGAACCATGCATCTACGAAACAGACCGTTTTGGATGCCCAAGTGTGATGGTTTGGGATGGTGTAAGCTTGTCTGGCAAAACAGAGCTGGTAATTCTGAGCAAAGGGACCGTATTACTGCCGTTTAGTTGAGAGAGTGATCAGACCTCGTGTGATCTGTTTTCACAAAGAGTAGGCCAAAATTTTGTTTTAATGTAAGATAACGCTTGCCGTATGGGCATATGGCCCGTATTACAAGTAGAGCTCTTTATGACGCCAATAATTTAGTTTTACCATGACCAGCAATGTGTCCTGACCTTAACCCCATCGAACATTTATGGGGTCAGTTGAAAAGAAAACTTAAAATAAATTACAGCAACGTGAACAGCCAGCAAGAGCTCATAAATGCTTTAAAAGCCTGTTGGACGGACGGACAGACGGAACAGTGCCGTGGGATTTCTACACGCTATTAAAATCAGTTACAACTTACATGTATCTAAAAACAACTTTTTAAATGATTTTTTAAGCGCTCTTTTCGCCACCTTGCTCTAGCGTGATTGTAATTAAATGAAAAAAAAAATTAAATCTTTTACTGTTCATGTTTCATAATTTGTAAATCCCAAATTTAAGTATCTAATTAAGAGAACTATGTGTAAACTTACATAATTTAAAATTATGAAAGAAAAGCTAAGTGGGCCCTATTTTGTTTTGAGTAGTATATTATACAATATTAAGAGTTAAAAGAATTATTGCAAGCGATCATAACTATAACATAAAAACGTCAAAATTCAAAACGTCAAAATCATCAAAGAAAATACAAAAAAAAAACTCAAACAAAATTTCAATAAAATACTCAAAATAAGCATACAATATGAGAGAGCC